CAGCATAACAATTTTCTCGACATCACATACAAATGCTCAACAGCCACGCCTTACATTATAAATACCCTGGTAGAGTAGAGTTTCCCCGTAAATTAATTTTTTTTTGCTGTGTATTTATGATTACATCGTGACTGTTGTATTCGTGAAATGTTCTTCAATAGATTATCCGTCGAAAATATTAATTCTGCGATGTCTTCACTTATTAAATATCTAGGTACCTACCAAGCATTCCTTAAATTATGAATATTAATTAATTTACAAGGATTTACGGTTATATTTATACGTATGCATGCGAGATGCGCCCTACGTAATAATATAAACTATTTTTATTGTTATATCATTAAAGATAATTTATTTATTGTTCGATCTGATAGTGGGATTCGTATTAAAAGTTTGAGTTTTCTTTTTAGTTTCTAGAACGTTTATTGTTTAAGTTTACATTATATTTTGTTCTCAATTTAAACTTATTCAATTCCATTTATCAAATAGCATTAAAACGAACTCAAAACATTCATATTTGATAATTTTCCTATTGTCTTATTGTTAAAACAAATTTAGGATTTTTAAACTTTAAATTTTCTAAATTGAAATATTATGTATTGTTAACTATAAAAGCTATCAAATATGCAAAATAATAGCAATAAAATAATCACCTAGATAAAGTTCTAAAAAAAAAAATAATAATAGTATTTTGATGGAAAGAAATGATAATATATGCTAAAGTTATACATAGGTAAGAAAGTTCATAAACTTAATTTTAGTTGTTTTTTTTTAATTATACGTCCCACGATAGTCTAATATAATATTATCTAAGTTTTTCGGGTAAACAACTTCTGTACAGTTTGACTAATTAGAAAGTTTAGAATGTTATGGGATCATCATCTGAATATATCTAACTAAAGGGCAATTATTATTATGTAATTAAAATATTAATTTATTAATAAAATATTAATTTATTAACCTAAATATTGTACAATAAATACGCTTTATTAATTAACTAAATCACTTAATTATAGTGTATCATCAAACACGTATTATACATATTAAATATTATATAGTAATACATGATATGCTTTAGAATATATCATATAAAAATTTGTATGGTTTTGTTTGGCCATTTCAATTAGTGATAATGGAAATGTTCAACACCTGCTCCGAATAATAATTATAGACGTTTATAATTTCAAACAAAATGTTTCGATAATATAACAACCTATGATTTATGATAATAAATAATAATTATTAAAATTTGGAGTAGGTAATTACATAAAAATCATGGAGTCGTATTTATTGGTATGGTTAAAAAAAGTATGTATTTATCACTCAAATCATGCATATCTAGATAACTGCTTTCAGTAACTCTTTGCAAGTATCACAAATACACAATGGCGACAAATCATTGCAAGTGACACAAATCATGTTGTTATATTATCATGACTCAAACGGATTTAAAATCAATGGACTGTTATACACTTATAAACGAAATTTAGCATTTTCTTCTCTTAATGATCTTCATAAAACTATAGTGTTTGCAGTCATTAGTGTGCAAAATAAAAACATTTATTCGATATATTAACTAAATTGCAAATTTTTGACTGAATTTAACATCACTCATTATAGTTGATAATATATCTATGCTAATGCGAATACATTATTCCTTCAATTATTATTTAAATGTGTGTATCATATTCGTATGAATGAATTAATTTAAAAAAAAATACTCCATAATAATATAAATCATTAAAAAGTGTTAATTGTTAATACCGGCTTTACAATTTCGTTAATAATAATCATAATAATTCTTTAATAATGTCAAAAGCAATAAAGATTAAATAAAAGTAATGTATACCTATACATTAATTTTATAATAATAACAAACAATTATAAATAAGACTCAAGAGGCTTTAGATATCAAATGCGTTGTGTTTAAAATGTAAATAGGTATACGGTGGGTACACTGTTAATAATGCGTGTTGTCATTTTAATTTTACCACAGATTAATATTGTTGTTTAACATAAATTATAATAAATAATAATACATGTTAAATAAAAATAAGTTCACATTATAACGAGTCTTATCTGTACAGTATACTTATGTCCATAAGCTAAGTATACATCATTACTCATTACTACATAGTATATACCATATAAACATTCGGCCATATTATATTGAAATAATAATTGTACCTACACGAAATAAATTATGTACATAAGTCAGTGTTAATACACAGGCAGACATAAAAGGGATGGTATCCTGTTATTCCAAACTTAATTTATACAATATAATATGTTGTCATTGGTTTATTGACACCGAAAATGAATGCTTGAATAATTAGGTTTTTAAAGTTCTTGAAATAATGATGTGGAATTGAAAAGTTTTTGGTGTATGTAAAAATGATACACACATAACTAGCTATGTAAGAATTGACTTGTTGTGAAATTTAATTTATTTATTTATTGACGAAGTGATCTAATGTAGGTATAGTACCTATATTATAATTCTGTATGAAATGTAATTAAAACTTGGTTCAACGTAATTTTAAGTCATTAAAATCAAACTTAAATTCTACAAATAAACTTTATACAACAATTAAAAATGTCCCTACACATTAAAAATGTACCTACACTTTTTTTTAAATATTAAATGTTAATAAATCATTTATTAGTTATAACTTATAACTTATGACAAAATTAAATCAGTTGAATTAATAATAATAGTAATTTATAATATTTTATACCTATAATCTATAAGCAAATTTCATAAAAAGTTAGATTCTGAGCGGAGCTATAATGTATATTGTTTTACAAAGATTTGGTTGTTTTTTTATGTGTACACGGTTCGTACCATAAAAATACGCTTTAATATTCAACTCGAAAATTGTTTTTTAGTAGAAATGGGATCTAGTTGGTAATTTTTGAAAATATTGAATGCTTTTCAAAATAATCACAAAAACAAAAAAAATTAGATAAAACGGGAAACTTTATGCTAATCCAGTTTTTTTTTTTGACAAAACCCTTGATTCAAAATCAAAATATGTGCAAATTAGTTCGTTGTTATGAATTAACAACATTTTTAAAGTTCTTCTGACCTCAAATTTGGTATGCTTCGCGTGGGTTAGAGAGAGAAACAAATTACAGTGTGCTGACTTCCAGAAAATCAATTTCACTATGTTATTCTGTTATTTTTAATGTTAGAGTAATCGACCTATTATAAATATAAAAGCAAGAATATTAGATAGGGACGCACTTAAGTTTTTATTTTTTTTTTTTTAAGTTATGAGCACTTAAATATAGGTATACATAAGCAAAAATATACAATTTTAAAATGCTCATAATTTGGTTCAAAATTAAAACAGATAATACTACTCATATCATTAAATTTTATAATATTGGTCGATTTAATCGAATATTAAAAATGACTGGATGACGATATTCGCTCGACGAATGCATAGCGATTTCCCCGATTTTCAATAATGCTATTTATTGTTTTTCTAAAGAAAGGTTTTTACAATTATAATTTTACTAACACAGATCGACGGTTTGAAACGATAATTAAATAATAATTGATAGATGAATGCGCAAAATGAAAAGAATTTGTAACTGTAAAAAATGCAATTGATGATTATGTAACGTCTGCAGCTCATACTTAGTACTTACTAGTTTATACTTCATATAGGTACCTACAGAAAACTAAACTATATTTTAACGAGTCGAATGAAATTAATCTTTGAGTAGACGACAAGAAATGTGTTGTAATTTATTGTTATTTCACTTTTCCTTTGTGTTAAGCCACTCTAGGAAAATCAATATCGGTTGGCAACCCTTCGTTTCGAAACAAATTCCCTAAGCACAAATTTCACCGGCCGGAAGAACCACTTTAACACGCTGAAACTTTTACTTTGAGATTGGAAGTAGCGTGAGAGGACAGAAGCGGGAACACCTTAATTGAACGTATATTGACTTATTGTCTACGAGTACCTAACGGGCTTTATAAAGAAAGACTTCTTGAAAAAAGTAAAAACTTTATATATACGTCTACAGAAATACAATATAATGCTTACCAATCTAAACTAAGCATTTCTTGAGCATAGTTTCACCGAGTCGAAACCATTACATGTTTTCGATGTGAATGTCGTTATTACGTTATACAATAGCACAATATAATATAAAGTTAATTTAATTCAATCATATCGATGAACTAAAATCCGGTTATATGGCGGTAGGCAGAGTTGGGCAAAATTTTATCTAGATAATTATTCGAATAAATCTGTATTCGAATAAAAAACTATTCGAATGTTTTTTTTACAATTATTCGAATAAAAATGTATTCGAATAATTTTCAACTATGATTATTCGAATAAAAAACTATTCGAATAATTTTCAACTATGATTATTCGAATAAAAAACTATTCGAATAATTTTCATCTATGATTATTCGAATAAAAAACTATTCGAATAATTTTCAACTATGATTATTCGAATAAAAAACTATTCGAATAATTTTCATCTATGATTATTCGAATAAATTTTAAAGACGGTTATACGAATAATTCTTAGTTATTTAATTTGATTAAACATAGTTCATAATAAAATCATTTTTTTAGATATTGCTATTATCGTATATAACATATCATACTATATAGGTACTAAGGTACATAATATGTTGTATCTTGTACCTATCTCATATTTATAAGTTCAAATATAGAGCTCCACACAAAAATATAATAGGGTCGATGTAGGCTTGTACTCTGTACTCTGTAGGTTGTAGTTATAAAAGTTATCTGTTTTATTATAATATATGATATCTAAACATAGAAAATGTGGTTTTGTCAAATGTACTTTGTATTTTCTACTACATACAGTTTGAAGATAATCTTATGATTACTTGTGTCGTATTGTCGCGTTAGTTTTTCTATGCGCAAGTGCCGAGTAGTGAGTACCTACGTATGAACGTGTGACAGTCGTGTTTAATTTAATTTAAAATATCAATTAATTTCAATATGAATTCCTTGAATGAACATAATGAACATTCAATAATTTCAACACAACAGTCATCTGAGGTTAACACTGAAGTGTCTGAAATGACGGATTCAGCTATGTCCATTTTAGATGGTAAGTTTTTTAAAATAAAATCTAAAATTGAAAAAAATAAAGTAATTGCTACATGCGTAATATGTGAGCCACGTAATGTTGAAATAAAAGGATCATTATCTTCAACATCTAATTTTAAGTCACATCTCAAAAGAAGACATGATCAATCCGTTATTGAATCATATGAAAATTATTTATCAGAAAAACGATTAAGAATCAACGATTCTAAAACGGATAATGCAGTTAGTACAGTACATCGTGTTAAATATACCCAAGACCAATTTGACAAAGATATCACAAATTTTATTATACATTCAATGGTTCCATTAAGAACTGTAGAAAACCCATATTTCAAAAAAATATTTGATAATATTGGAGTCACTAAAACAATTATTGTTCCGAGTCGACGAAATCTTGGGAGAAAAATACATAATTTATTTCAAGACTCGAAAGAAAAAATTATAAACGACATTAAAGGTATACAATATGTATGCACCACAACTGATGTCTGGTCATCGAAGAAGAGAAGTTTTTTGGGCGTGACAATACATTGGATCGATGCCGATAATTTCCAACGGCGATCATCGAGTTTGGCTTGTCGCAGATTTCGCGGAACACATAGTTATGACAAAATTGCTGATATATTACAAGACATACATTTAGAATACAATTTGAATTGTAATAAGGTAAGTGATTGTATATACTATATATTTTAATAATGTATACTCGTATGTATACTTCAGTAAAATATCATAAAAATCATTTAAATACAAATATTGACAATATTTTCCCTATTTACTAATTTATAGATAATCGCAACAATTACTGACAATGGAAGTAATTTTGTCAAGGCGTTTAAAGTGTATGGTGTTAAATTAACTCACTTTGATAATGTTGAAGATAGTGAGTATGGGAATATTGATTTATTTGGTGATGCAACATCGGTAGATAGCCAGGGACAGGACGATGAACAAATAATTTATGATTTAGTAGAAACAACGGAAGAACTTGAAAATAATCCATGGCTACCTCGACATTTACGATGCTGTGCTCATACATTGAGCCTTTTTGCTACATCTGATTTAATTATAACTATTCTATCACCGCAAAACTCACAACTAACTGAAATACACACTTCGGTAATGAAAAAGTGTACAATATTATGGAACGCTTCAAATAGGCCAAAATCTGCTGAGGTAAATTTTTAGTTTTTTACATTATTATTTAATCTTATATTTTTTAATAATTACAAATATTATACTTGAATTATTTAGGTCATATTACAGACATTGGGCCATAATTTATCAAGACCCGGGGATACACGTTGGAACTCTTTATATGACTCATTGAAACAAATTTTAAAATATAAGGAGAAAAATTGTGAGTTATTCGAAGCATTAGGATTCAAGAATAGCATGTTAAAGGATTCGGAATATTTATATATAGAAGAGCATTTGAATTGCGTTGGTCCTTTAGCAGAAGCATTAGATATTCTCCAAGGTGAAAATAATATTTTCTATGGGTTTGTTCTTCCAGTCATATTGAGCTTACGCCGCAAAGTTAAGAATTTGTTACTAAATAATTGGAGATATTGTGAACCTTTAGTTAACAGTATCCTCACAAGTATTGAAAAAAGGTTTTCTAATATAGTACAATTAAATACAATTGAAGCAGAAAACGCTATGATTGCCACATTTTCACATCCGAAATTTAAAAACCGTTGGCTAAGTTGCATTGACTCTTCTCAACATGATCGATGTATTCAAATATTTAAAACAGCAGTAACTAATAAAATAAAAGAAATAAATACTATTTCATCAACAAATTCAGAATCGCCAGAATTGTATGAGCAATCAACATATGAGGAAGCACACGATTTTTTGACTTTGACCCATTAGTTAACATTGACAGAAACGCTCAACAAAGTAGACGCTCTGCAGCGTCAGAGGCAGAAATACAGGTACATTATAGTAAATCAATTACCAAATTATAAATTGTAATATAATTAATAATTATTATTCATATTTTTGTAGGTCGTACAATTTTTCAACAACTTGTCTCAAGACCTGTCAATTCTTCATCAGTATCCGCCAATCAAAGAGATATTTTTACGCTATAATACACCAATGCCGTCATCAGCTGCCGTCGAAAGATTATTTTCTTATGCAACTATGACTAATTTACCAAAATCTAACAAGCTATCAGATGATATGTTTGAAGAGAGGGTTATTTTGAAATCTAATTTAAAAATGCAGTAATAACTAATAAGTATATTGTTATAATTATTATAATTATAATTAGTTTCTTCCTATTATTATACTTATTTATTAAAATTCTAAATTTGTTATAATTGTATATTTTCATTTTTGCTGTAATTATTTATTTATGTTTTTGTAATTATTATTTATTACTATTTATGATTGTTGTAATAATTGTTATGAAATATTACCATTAAATATTATTCATATTATAATATTATAAAACTATTATTAAAATATAATTAAAAAAAACATATCTAATTTTCTAATTTTTAACTTTCTTCTATTGATAGATATTTGTTTATTGTTTATTCGAATATCTATGTTTAAAATTGAATCGGTTAATTTTTTATTCAAATAACAATAGTTGAAAATTATTCGAATTAATTTTTATTTGAATAATTGTAAAAAAAAATATTCGAATGATTTTTTATTCGAATAATCATAGTTGAAAATTATTCGAATAGTTTTTTATTCGAATAATCATAGATGAAAATTAATCGAATGATTTTTTATTCGAATAATAATAGTTGAAAATTAATCGAATACATTTTTATTCGAATTGTTATAAAAAAAATTATTCGAATAAATTTTAATTCGAATAATTGTAAAAAAATCATTTGAATAATAATTTATTCGAATAAAATGTTATCTAAATAATCATCTAGATAAAATTTCATTCGAATAACGCCCAACTCTGGCGGTAGGTGCTGTATTGAATTCCAACGTTTAGATTAAACCTAATTTCTTTGTACTATTTTTAAGTGATATCAAACATACATATATGGAATTTATTTTAAATGCCATTATATGATTGTAGATTATTATAATTATTATTATTATTTTTATAGAGAATTACTATAATTTATGTAATATAGAATTAAATTTCAACTTTCAGTATATAGCTAAACTAGAAATTAAATAAAATATTCGTTCAGAATGTTTCTTAACATGTTCTTAGAATGGCCAACTTAACAAACTTGTTAACGTAAAATATATTTCAAATTAATAAATAATATATTATTAATTAATCAAGTTTGTACAAACAGTGATACGATTTCACACTGCAGGTTGGTAGATATTCTATGAATATAAATATTATAATCGTTATCAGACGGGTGTGTACTGTGTATAGGAGAACAGATATTATGGTACAACTACGACCTGTAAAAAATATAAAATTATTAGATATTTTAATTTTGATTAGATTAAGTCGAATACAATTTAATTAAAATAATAACCATGTATTTTCGGTTGTATGGAATAGCTTTTAGGACGTGTTAACCGAGTATACAATTCAACAAAATCTCAGTTTATGGATGTCGGATCCATAATATGGGTACAAGAGACATTTAAATTTCTCGGTCGAAACGGGTCGAGATGAAGAGCAAATAACCCTTATACTATCGATATATTATTATGAGGTTAATTTAAAATTTAAAATGTAAAGAAGGCATAGCCGTCCCAAGAGAGGGGGGAATGGGGCAAGTGCCCTAGGGAGTCTAAAGTATTATGAATTTAGAGGGCGTACTAAAAATGAATGATAAAAAGAAAAATTTGATGTTTTTATTTTAGGTATTATTTTTCTTTTTATACTGTAAAATCAAAGATGAGTACCTATCAAATTGTATACTATTAAATATAAAATAATGTAAATAATGTGTTAAAACTTAATGTGACATACCTTCAATAATATATTCAACATTCATAAAAACAAATAAAAATATTAATACTTATAAATTATAAAACTACAATAGTAATTTACTAACATGAAATATATTTTAAATATGTATACACATCATTAAAATAATTAAGTAATATAAACTAAACTAATTCATATCTTTGGTAGTATTAAATGTTTTTTTCATTTGAAAAAGATTTTTTCTCTGGTTTTGTAATCGGCAAATTTAAGAGTATGGATTACAGAAATAATTTTTAATTACCTATAAACAAAGCAAGGTCCTTAATTGTTGTGTTTAATAATTCTCCTTTAATTTTTCTGGTAAATATGGAGAATTGTCATCATTATTTCATATTTATAAAATAATATTTCAATAAAACATCAAATATCTATACTGACAGTGAAATTTGATTCATATATATAAATACATGTATGTGATTTAATATGTGATTTTTTAAATGTGATTTTGATATTTGTTATCAAATACGAAAATAGTAAATTATTAGTTGGGCTGGGGCCTAGGGCCCCTGCAGTCTATGAGCCTCAGTCAGGGACGTATTTATAAGGGTGGCTGAGTGGGATGCAGCCCCCTCTGAAATTTTAAGAAAATTTAAAAAATATTTTTATAGTCTATCAGAGTCACTGCAAATCTTAAATTTCAAATTCGGATTTTTATTTTGTTAGCTTATCTTTTCGATCATGGACAAAACTTTACCACGGGAATTGATAAGTATTAAACATATTTAAGGTATGTGATTAATTATAATCCAAAAATGTGAAGTCTAGATTTTTTTGTGGGAGGGAGAGCCAGAGGTTTATCAAATATTGTTGCCCTAGGGCGTTATTGGTGGTTAGAGCGGCACTGAAAGTAGGTATAGCCAGCTAGGTACGCACGCAATATTTATGCAGTATTATAATATCATGTTTGAGGCTCAGATTTGTACCTATTCATATTATATATCAACACGAAATACAGAAACACACAAATGTCATGTAAATAAATATGTACCTATAAAAATTATACTTACTTAATATATGTTTAGGTATGCACGTGATAGCTGTTAAATGTATAAGGAAAACTTTGAAAATCGGGAAAGTTTCTCTCCTGTCTAGTAGCAGTTTTAGTAGGTTTCGAGTGTAGCTATAGTCAGTAGTCATTGATTAGGTCACTGTAATGAACGTGTTAAATACTTAAATTTAAAGACAATGATAAATCATTGCACAAGAAAAAAGATTCTAAACGGGGATATGTGTATCAACTATCATTCACTATTTCTAAGGATGTTTTATTATTTATTTATATTACAATTACAAATTTCCAATTTATTTTTCTATTATTAATGCGGTAGGTTACACTAATTTTTGCCATAAACATTGAATAATTTATTATATTATATTATTATAACTATTGTAATATTACATATAATATATCATATTGTTATTACTTATTAACTATTGCATAGCTATAATATTATATTAGTGATATAACCTAGCCACCTAGGTGTGACCTAGGTAACACACAAGTCAATGTCGCTTAAACGTGTGAATATGTTCGTAGTATAAAATAACTTAATTAGTCTAAATATTTTTGTAAATGTCATTGTGTGTAGAAAATAATACTATACACTATAACTGTCAAAAAGTTTGAAAGCCCTACGAATAATATTTTATTCATTTCAAGTTACAATACATAATAACTAAAATATAACGAAAATTGATATTTAATTTAAATTATCAACAAAAATTTAATTTGACTTTCATGTGACATTTTTTTTTTTTTTGGTAAAGGTAGACAAACTTATGAGGAATTTTGTATTACATTTTCAAATCTTATATTATTTAAAAAGAAAACTTTTATGAGTTTCTAACTAAAAAAATTTGCACATTTTCGTGATTTTAACGTGTCTTGTCAAGATTTGAACTTTAAATACCTACTTAAAAAAAAATTGCGACTATGGGTTTTTAATATTTTTCAAATGTTATAACAATATATTAAGAACCTTGTATTAAATTTTCAAGCATTTTAAACCAACAAATAAAATGTTTTGACATTCATAGAAAAAAAAACTAAAAAAAATAGGAAACTGAAATGTCCGCAAAAAGTTCAAAACAAAACCATAATATTTTGAAAATCTTATCGTATATAGAAAATGCGAATATAAACAACCAGTGAAAGATTTAGTGTAAAAATTCCCGGTTTTCCTTAATTTTTTTTTTGTTTCTCGGTGCTTTTGAACACTAATGTAAATATGGGATTTTGACCAAATGCCCTACCTAACTAGATTAACTTCCCCATCATTTCGACTACTTATCGTGTACACAGACACAAAAAAAAAACAGATATTATAAAATCAATACATTCATTGCTCCGCTCAGAATCTAATATCAATAACAATATAAAATATTCTGTGAACATTTCAAGTCTCTATACAGTTATTCAATTGGTTTGTCATAAATATTCCCTTTTTCCGTAATTTTCTGTTTCCCGATTATTTTAAGAAGTTTGTACCTATGTAGATACAAAGAATATTTTTACCCTACAATTCTGAAACTAGATCCATTTGTCTACAAGAAACCAACCTCAATATTAAAGATAACAATTTTACTGCTCCAAAACGTAATGACAGACTCAACAAAACACACACATCGTTGTAAAACCAATAGGTACATTTTTCGATCCGAATCTAAAAAAAAATATGAACATAAAATATTAGGTATATTATTATAAGTTATAACAAACAAGATGATTTAATATCAAATTGTTTCAGTCTGCTTGTCTTCTTGATCACAAGAAATGTAATAAATTCAAAATTCGGAAATTATTAATCCTTACGAATGTACCTATATCGACTTGATTATTATATGTACAGATATTAAGATTATAAAAAAAAAAAAATTTAATAAGAAATAATAAGAAATTAAAAAAAACAAGTAAGCTGAAAATGATTATAAACAGACGTATTTATCGTATATTGACAAAAGTATGTTAATAGCATGTACCTAATGAACATTAAAAATAAATTTGTAATTAGTTACCTAATAAAAAAGAATTTTTCACGTGATAAAACATAATATCCTATTATTAAAATTAATTTTACATATTTTAGTGTAGGTATTAACGTGAGCAATGCCCATTAAGTTTCAGTTTTCGTGTTTAAAATCCAAACTCGGAACGATACATTTTAAATATGTATCTATATTTTATAATCAACAAAAAAAGTTAAGGTAGAACCATATCAAAACGGATAACACTTACCTACTCATAACTTAAACTTATAATATATTGTATACCTGATACATTTTTTTGTAACTATAATCATATGGATTGTGATTTGTGATAAATTTGTGTAATCATTAGTAAAAAAAAATGTTTGTTGCTATAGTGAAAGCGTAAACTTAAAAAACTGTATGAAAACTTAAAGAATATATATTTTTTTTTTATTCATTGATTAAGAATTATGTTTTTGGTATGCACTAAATGTATATTATTTAACACACTATAGCATGTCTTTATGAGTTAGAAAACTACATTATATGCTGAGATTTAATATACTACAAATATACAATTTGATAATAAATTCATTTAAATGAATATTTTATGTAAATAATTTATTTAACATGATACCTATAACCATAAACCTTTATTACACTGTTTCAGGTTATAACATAATTGAATGGCTAATGGACCGTTTAACTGTCGACGAAACTGGTAAGTTTGAATTATTAAAATGGTTTCAATAAAATAATTTTTACAAAAATAAAAAGCATAAAAATGTACATACCTAGTACAATTGAATAAATTATTTGTATTTATAAAAAGTGTACAAAATATTTGTCTTTGGTTATAACAAAAAATAATGAGCAAAAAAAAACCAAAAAATGAAAACCACAAGTAAATAGAATCAATTGTTTAATGATTTTTTCATAACGTTTAATTAATGTTTAAGAATTTGAACCAAATACATGAATATTTAGAAGAAAAAAAGTAACAAAAATGTTTTGTTCATTATAAATATAGTTTTTCCATTGTACGTAATATTATGAAAATAATAATTCCATAAATAAGCTATACAAATGAATTTGCAAAGTTAAATTTGGTTCACCATTATATTTTATTCGTTTTACTATTAAATAACCGAAATGTTTAAACAACAATATTTATTTATAATTATGTTTTCATAAAAAAATTTAAAGTACGTACAAAAATTGTTTACTTCACGCAATCGAAATATAGTTGATTAAATGCATAGTTTAATAATGTTGATTGGAATTTGGAGAACAACTTCTTAGTTTTAGACGATTTAATATTGAAATAAACCGATAAGAAAAAGGTTAAAATCTATTTTTTACATTCTTATAGTAGAGCTAAAAAAAGTTTAATTCAGTCAATTTATGACCTACATATCCGCTATTTGCTTTTAGTATTTATGGGAATGAATTATTATGTGACTGCTTTCATATCAAAATCAACCAAATTTTTTCTAGTTTGTTTAAAAAAAATCTTATAATCCTAGATTATATATCTATTTTTCTCATATCAGTGTTTCAAATATATTTTTCCAAAGTTAAGTTTTGATTATAAAATACATTTTGATATATTGATAAAACAGAACTATTTACAAAGTAGAAGGTACGTAGTACCCATTAATAGTATTTCGGTGAATAATTAAACTATTGATTCCTTCTTAATAAATAAAAACTCAGAGGTAGTTTAATATAATGACTTGTTCTTCAATACTTCACTGTAAACATAAAACACAGTGTAAACAAAGTATAACTTTGATAACATTTTAAAATCGCAAACCACTTCACGGTACAATTTCAAAGAAATGCAATCCTCTTATATTATTTACTATTGGACTTTCGGTATACGTTTTTATATTTTACTACTTACTATTATATAGATCTATACATTATTTATGAAAATAAAAATGAACGTTCAAACGTACAATAAGTCCGAAAACGTAAACAAAACATTTTCATTGAAATATATTATGCATCAACGTTGCTTTTAAATGGAAATCTGAAAATAATGTACTTTATCATACGAGTTTTATGAGTCGAGAAAAAAATGTAAATAGGTATGGTAAAACAGTTTATATATATAGTACAGATAGTAATAATATGCATCGTTATTATACATTATACGTTTGTATATTATGTATATTCAAATGTTACGTTCAGAGTCCAAAAATATGTAAAACAAAATTGGTCGCTCATCGTACAACAAACAGCTCTTACATTATTATTATTATTATTATTATTGTTATTATTATTTCTACCACTCGGATTTAATAAACGTTTCCATAAATGTCTACTATTGTATGCTGCACCGTCGTATCTCTATTTACGCATATTTTCTCGTCACAACATGGGTGTATCTATATTATATACTACCATACGTAAAGTATGTGATATCAATAAAACGAGATTGAAAAGCATATTCTCTACACACTATTCTATCGTACCTATTTTATAACGTTTCAACAGGCCACTAACTTCGCACATTGTAATGTTTGAATTTATCGAACATGTAATTAAACGATAAGCAGACGTTTCTAGAACTGTTTTTTTTTCTTCCGGGCGTATCCTGCAAACGTAAGAAAAGTATGTGATAGGTTTTTATTTTCAGTAAATCTATTTAATGGGTTATGGTCTCACGATTTAGAACATTTTATCACCTATGTGTACGGCTATATAGGTCTGCAGAAGTTGAATTATGTAACGTAGCGGTGCTCAAATACAATATCGTATCAATATTACCCACCTACCTATATAATACTGACACAAAGCGCCGAGCAATAAACAACCCTAGCACTATTCTTCTCGTTCGTCGTTTTCAGGAATGTTATATTGAAGAGGATTACTTTTATGGCTGCAAGTTTCATTTCTATACAGCGACATCGACTAATGCAGTAATGCGCGTATGATTTACCTACCTATCCAAACAGAATTATATAGGTTGCTATAATACTGATGCCTAAATCGTGAACTTACATAAAGTATTAGGTATATTATAAATGCTCGACAGCGAATCCAAGTTAATTGTAAAGAAATAAAAAATATATACTTAATATAATATAGTTGATGAATAAATAAACTTAAACGCCATAAAAGGACTTAAGTCTATATAATTAAATATGTCATATAAGTACCTATACCTATTTATCTAGGTATTGAAATACTATTGTTAAAATCGAAAAAACAATTCGACTCAGTGTTATTTATTATCTAGTCTGTTGAAAACTAAATTTAAAAATTAAGAAACCACATGTAATGTATGTGTTAAATTTGAAATCAATGATAAATCATTGCACACCAAAAACGATTCTAAACAAAAATAGTTTGTCTCACATTACTAAGTATATTTTATAATATATTTATATAATATTGATATTAGGTATCTAATGTAATTTATTTTACTATTAGTAATATAGTTGTTGAATTATTTTTTTCTGAAAACATTTCATTTGCAAATGTATATATAATTGTGTGTATAAAATATTATAATAATACACATTAAGAGTTTCAAGTACCAATAACTAAAACCGTTATTTATTGTTTAAATATCTAATTTCGTCCAAATTTGAACATTGAACTTATAATGCCGTGTTTAAAAAAAAAACTATGCTAATACATATATTTTTTTGGGATTACGGTATGAACTACTTACTTATGGGAAACCTTGTAATAAATGTTCAATCCTTCACTATACATTTTATTTGTATAATTATTTTTACTGTACATTTTCATACTAAATATGCGTTATTTTTCACGATATATTACCTCCAAAAAAACCAAAATCATATAACAAATAGCAGGCACCTATAATTGCTTTCACTTACTATACAGGTCAAAACAATAATTTATTTGAGCCAAGTAAATCGATTAAAAGCACAACATTTCCCCCCTTATTGGTTTTATTATTTTTGAATCACTATTATTGGGACGTTTTTAGTTTTTATTTTTGAATTTGAGAGGTGCAATATTAATGTATTGATTTGTGCTTTTTTTATTTATGACTCTTTTCACGAAATAATGCTTTGATTTTCAACTTTAGTAACTTTCCTGGTGGAAAAGTGAATATAGTTGGTACATTCGGGAGGGAAAAATTGAAAATTCTCGGTAGTTTTCAAAGACAACGAGAGAAAAAAATTATGGAAGAACGGAAATTTTTACTCAAAATATCAGTTTAACAAAATCGATTTTGTTTATTGGTGTAACTCAAAAACAAATAAGTAACCGTAGATACTTGAAATGTTTGAATTTGGATTACGGTACAATTTTCAAAATATTGATAATTTTGAATCTTTTTGTTCTATAACCTTATAGACATTTTATTTTTTTGTACATAAATAACGATAAAAAAAGTATTCGCTAGGTCAAAAAACTCCCAAAATTTAGTAATTAAAACTAATATATAATATATTTTTATAAGCATTTAAAGTTTAAATTTAACGCATCCATTACAATGACCAACACAGTACCTAATTTACAGCGGACTGGAACCCACTTGCCCACCTTTTTAAACTTATATTTCTGATTTAAAAGGGAAAAACAGTTCAGTCAGTGATTCCTTTAATATATTACTTAATATGGATGGAAACGGGCACTCATCGCAGGTTTAGGTTATAATATATTCATTATCGCATTGGCAAATAGATTTTAAACGGAGCTTAGAGCGTATAATATTATTTCCAGTCCTTGAACGATAAAATAATTACGTTCTAAAGTGCAATCTGCAGTGCGAATTCGCGACAAATTTATAATACCATGTATATGGACGAGGCTGGCATAAAACAGTTTTATATTACTAGAAAAAAGTGTTTTAAGAAGAAAAAAACAATAGAAAATAAAATCACTAGTACAAATAATATATCCAATATATAATTAGCTCCCATTATTACATATTGTGAGTAATAAACTAACAAGTAATAACTGATCCATTTCACCAACAATTTTATTAAAGTTTTTTCCATTTTATGCCACTATAATAACAAATAAAATATAAATATTATTTTAATTATGACTAAGTAATCAAAAGTGAAAAATTAATTCACCATTTCTGCTGAGATAAGAGCTTATGTAAATACGTATATATTTGTTTTAGTTTTAAAACGTACCCGGTACACCGGTGTAATGTAAAGTATGCACAAACCAAGTATAATATCATTATATATAATATACTAACATTCATTTACATTATTATAATTTATTTACATAATCGACCGCGTAATATAATACGTCTTTATAGTGATATATAGTGACCTCTGAACAAGCCTATACACATTTTCTTTTTATTGATATATTAACTTTTTGCTGCAGTACATTGTGATTCCCATCAATATAAATGACGTACCTAAGACAGTTTTTGTGTATATGAAAAAAGAAAACAAGTAGGTAGTTAATATTTTTTTGTGGAAATTGAGTTTGAATAACGTTTTTAATACCGCTTCATAATATAAAATATGACCCCTTTTCAAATATTGTCCTATTATAGCAGTAATATATTATTTAACATTTCAGTAAGTTAGAGTTTCATCGAAGCACAACTTTAAACAAGTTATCTACATCATAAATTATACTTAAAATGTTTTGAAATTCTGAAGATGACTTCTTGACATGTTAGTAAAATATTACAGAAAGACGTAATAAAAGGAAATTCGTGTTTTTTATTACAGAAGCGGTCCATATAGCCAATATGTTATGTCAATACGGATACTTCTTTCCCGTAAACGACTCAAAAACTCTTACTCTAAAAGATGACAGTTCTCTGTACAGGTTCCAAGTAAGATAAATAATATCTATTGCATATTATACCCGTTCAACGTCCAACGTTAATAATGGCGTTCAAAAAATAGTTGTGACAACGTTATTGTTTTCCAGATTCCGTATTATTGGCCATGTTCACAAAAGAATCCTGATAACGTGGAATATGCGATATACCTATCAAAAAGACTGCTGAGAAACAAACAACGACATGCCTTGGAAGACTACGAAATGGTAAGCATCAGTATCACCTAACTTAGTTAATTAAAACAACCATGAATTAACTCTAAAAATGTATCAAGGTCTGAATTTTTAAGCACAGTGCACTTTGTAATGGATAGTTTTGGAAAATTTAACAAAAATAAAACCTTTTTATTTTTATTTTTATACAAAAACAGTCCTTTATTCACACGAAATCAAAAATATTGAACATTTAAACAACGTTAAATTCAATAGCTATTTTTTTTTATGAATCCAGGACTCATTGAACAGTCTGAAAAAAAATCTACAAAACAAATGGGAATTCATCACGATGCAGGCTGAAGAACAAGTAAAAATGAAGTGTTTTTATCTATTTAAAGTAATTAATCTTGATGACAAGACGTCAACTGTACATGGATCGATTATTTTAGGTGCGATTGAGCAAAGATAGGAAAAAAGGCGAAAAAATAGTGACTGACAGTCAAGAAAGGGCGTTTTGGAGAGTACATCGTCCTCCTCCAGGATGTGTCAGCGTTATGGAACAAATACCGATAAAGATAGGTGGCAGTTTTTCAACCAAAAAGAAAAGAAGTTCTGAAGATCTCCGGAGAGAAGTAAATACAATACAAATATATCTTAATCGAATAGTGCGAAGATATTACATTTTTATAATTTATTATAAACCATTCCACACCTGTCCATTAAAAATAAAAATTTAAATATTAAAAATCAATATTGTGTGACGTAATATTATACATAGGAACGAACCGATAACTAACAATCGTATATCTACTTTAAGTGACACATGATATAATATTATAATTTATAACTGAAAATAGTAAAATATTCTAATGTTAAGATCTGCACAGTTAACTTCCAGTACAGACGATTTAAAACGTCTGCTATATTGAAAATATTTTCAAAATCGCCCCGTGTGTCTGTGCCCCATTTACTTTAAACTGGAGCTATGTTAGATTAAGTATAATTACTGATCTAATCCTGATAGACTGCAGCAAAATACATAAGCCATGACCGACAAATGTGAAACAAATTGCAAACGTTTAACGATGCAATTCTATAAGGAATATCAATATTTTTTTTGTAGGTTGAACTGCTAAGAAATTGTATAGGGAGAACAAGAGTTAAAACGTCAGTAGCTTTGGACGGCCTAGTTTCATTTGGAGAGACATATAACGAGTACGACCCATTAATCACAGGTGCTCAGCCGTCGAACCCTTGGGTGACGGACGATCCAACATTTTGGACGTTCAATTGTCCAATGTGAGTTTATATACAATGATATATTATAATATTTATAATGTTTTTGCAACAAAAAAATAAATAAATTATCGAAAATCGCAAGTGCTTGATCAATTTTAATGTGTCGAGACGTGTACATGTTTCAGGGTGGAAGCCATAACCGAAAAGCGCATAAAACGTTGGGCTCTATCAATGGAAGATTTAGTGTCGGACGCAACAGGTAAATGGCTATTATTATTATTATTATTGTTATATTAGGGTTTACAAAGGTGTGCGCTTTTGGTCAAACGACGAGGTATGAGTATAATCGTTTTACGCGTTAATTTAACTCAATGTCTTATACTGTCGTCAATCGTGTTAATCGCATTCAAGATTATATATTATGATTTATGATATACAACAACATTCATAACATAAATAACATGCATATTACATACCTTGTGGAAATCGGAAAATATACCTCTGCCGCAGAGTGCGTTGCTCTAGTCAATTACATTATTATTCATATTGAACAGGTCTCTACGAGTTCACAAATTATCTCCGGAAGGAATACAGTCACGAAAATATTAGGTTTTGGTTGGCGGTCAATGATTTGAAACGGAGCTGTCAGTCACAAATCCTGCAAAGAGTCAGAGAAATATATGAGTAAGTGTTCAAAGGGAAGATTTATTGTTGGTGCTACAATTATATAATTACAATGATTATTATTTACGCTGTTGAACTATTTCCAACGTAGTAAAACTCCAATTTAAGACGTATTTATACGTCATACATTTATCAGTTGATAATATAATTAAGATATATTTGATATTTAAATTCGACAGATCTTCGTGATATACACGCAGTTGTTATGTACTTAAGTAATACTTTTCAATGGTATGAAAAAAATGTAATTCATTAATTACATCCGGGGCATGGCAGAAACCTACGGGTGCCCCAATAGAAATTCTGCCAAACACTCTTGTGTTCCTAATGCATATGAGACACGTAAAAAAAATGTAATTAATTCATTAAAATCTATATACTATTATTGGGTAGGTCTAATTATATTATGTTATTATTTTTTCATAAGACAATGTGTTACACTTCAGTAATACCCATTATTTGTTTGAAATGTCCACCTCCTAGTAACGTCTTTACGCGAATTTGAAAGCGCAATAATATTATCATCATCGTTGTAAAATATAACACATTAACACATTTCAACGTATTCAATAGTCAATTTGAAATTACGAAATTATTACTAGTTAATATAAAATAAAATTAAATGAACCACCCGAAAGTAAACAATTTAAAGTAGCCAAGTAGGTATATATACAATGTCTATATAAATGTACTAAAAATACAATTTAAATGTACCTACGTGCTCTTGCAGAGTTATATAGGAATAAAAGTATTCGAAGCCATTAAACGTATTTGAATAGTATTATACTCAAATATTTTACAGCCATGACTGAGTAAAATATAATGCGCACGTCACCCCCTATACATGTCTATATATATGAGTATCGCATGTTTTCAGTGAGTTTCTAGCTCCCGGTGCTCCATGTGAAATCAATATCGACGGCAAGACGATGGAAAGAACGCATAAAGAAATGAAAGTCCCGTCGAGATTTACGTTCGACGGTGCTGCTGAACACGTGTACACATTACTCTTGAAAAAAGACTGTTATCCTAGGTTCATAAGGTCGGAGCATTACAAAAACCTGCTCGCTAATGGAGTCCAGCCCTCGGCCAGACGAAGGTACCTATAATATAATATTATATACAACGATGTAGGTATTAAATATGTAATTCGATTCCCTCTGCAGACACTCTGTCGTTGGGCTGTTGTACTGCAGAATCTGTAGGAATGATTTTAAATACTACCACGCCGGAAACCGGCAGCGTATTGTAGTATTAATATTTGTGTTACGTGCAATCGTATAAAAGTCGATAGTCGATACATGTTTGCGATTTGCGTTGATCAAACAAAACGTTTTGTTATTTTCCAGCCAACGAAATTTTTAATAACATAAATCTATAGAAAACGGCTATGATCGGATAAATACGAATTCCACGAGTTTAAAAAGGTTGTCAACAAACTATAATACATCGGTGTTGTTTCGTTTAGATTTTTCGGACTGGTCGGCGGCGCCGCCAACAAAAAGGCAGAGTGCAAAGATCGCATAAGAAGCACCGCAGGATGTTCAAGCACACAGGGTACGTCATCGTCGTCGGTCTTGCAAGCGAATCAGTCGTCGTCGTGTAGCAGCGCAAAGCGAAGGGGCAGCGACAGGAGCCTGACCAGCTCACCACACGAGCTTCCAATAAATTCTGTTAAAGTCTCGCAATCCCATAGTCAATCTAATCTCAGTGACATACCCTATAGGTAAGCCAACAAAAACCACACATACAATATACCTACATATACAACACGAATGTATACTATACCCATATATATTATATACCAGGGCTTGAAACCGCTCCTGAAGAAATAGGTTACCGGGTCCGGTAGGACCCGGAAAATTTTTTGGAACCGGTTACCGGTTATCGAGGTTTTTAGAAATAATGATAATCATTTCCCGCTTACCGAAATAAATTTTATAAATGGGATTACCGGTTATCTATTTGGAAGCGGTTTTAAATCTTCAAAATTACCGGTTACCTCACAAAACCGTTTTTTTTTTTTTTGTTTTTGTTTTAATACCTACTCTATTTTTTTTCATCAAACTTAACATGTCATTTTTGAAACTATTCATGCATTTTGTTGTGGTATGACTGGAGATAAGAAGAGGCGTAAAAAAAAAAAGATTAAAAACAACAACTACATAAAAGTAGTAGGTATCTATATCTATTGTTCTTCTTTAAGATACATAAAAACTTAAAAATATAAAATAAATGATAACAGTTTTATAATTATGAAAAAAATTAAAATACAAAACATTTTATCAAGTAAACAAGTTCAAACTTAGTACTTGAAAAACTCCAAACAATAAACAAAAAAAATAGTCTGTGTAGTCTATACTCTATAGTGTATCACCGTATACCTACTAAAAATATTAAACATTAAACATAAACATTTAAAATACATCTTAAATTTTCAAACCCATCTTATTCGCTCTTATAATCATAATTTCGTTCAGCAAATCAGATGATAATGATGAAACAAGACTAAAATAAAATAGATTTTATTTTATCATAGATGGTGACAATATTTGGTTATTAACATTTGACTATTATAGTATTATCAGTTAGTAGTTAGTACGTATTATTTGGTATGGAATATAGCTGACGGGAGAGTAGGCACGGTAATAGCACTAATAAGTAATAGATGATTACACAGTTTTGTTCAGTATTACTTTTATTACGAACTAATGTAAGATGTAACGAACTTATTATTAAATAATGAATATCAACAGTCCCTGATTATAAGTTATAACGTACCTATTACCTAGTACTTGGTACAATATCGTACATGCAAGGGTTATATACTATTATATATATATCATATATGTATCAGCCCGCATTGAGCATTCGTCGATGTTTCTACCATTCGTATCAGTATTCAGTGCCTATATTATAGGTAGGTACTGACTACTGAGAATCTTTTGTTAGTGCGCCGATACGATTCCGCAATCAAACACGCTTGTTTTGGTATTTTTAAATTTTAATACTTAGTAGTTCTAAAATAATCTATTTTAGTATTTTATAAATATTATTCTCTTCTATTTAGAATATTCAATATAATTTTAAAAAAAAATTTTTACTTTAATTGGTTTGAGATTTACCGGTTTTGTATACTTCCGATTAATTAACCGGTTCTAAAAATAAACGGTTACCGTTATAGATTTCCCCCTTTATCAAATTCCATGATTACCGGTAATTGATAACCGCTTCTCGAAATTGAAACTCGAGAACCGGGAAGCGGATACCAGTCCAAAAAGTATTCATGGTAACCGGTTACCGGGAAAAATCGGTTACCGGTTTCAAGCCCTGTTATATACTATATGTATAATGTATAATATGCGTTTTGACGGCTATAGCATATACGAAAAAAAAACCAAAGTTATGAAAACACAGTTTATGAATGTTACTCATTCGATATTCTTAGGTACCTAGTGAATAAGGATCTCGCACGCACGAGAGTTCGAAAATAATAACTACTATCAGGCACGTACACAAACAAAAATATTTTGGGGTGGACTGTGTCTGGGGGGTCTGGGGCAACTCTGGGCTGTACATATTTTTAAATGTTAATATTATTAACCATATTAAAACAATTCGAGAAGGTTGGGGGAGGGGTTGAGTCCAACCATTCGGCCTGTGTACGTTATAATATTATATTATACACAATATATTATTTACTAGCTGCTATAGAGTTACGTAGCCCTTACACTTATGATTGGACAAATAATATGATCGTAGCTTAGAAAACTATATAATAATATGTTTACTATACCACGTTTACTTAGGTCAAGCAAATTATTGTTTGATGTCTGTAATTATTCCAATATTCAGTATTCACTGAAATCTGATAGTTTTTTACACCTATAGGTACCTATATTTGGGCATCCAATCAATACTACAATAACAATCTATAACATTATTATTATCTACATTCAAATTTTAGGTCTAAAAACACTTCACAAGTGAACAACTATAATTGATGACAGGTCTGTACTCTGTAACAGCAGCTTGTGTAACTTGAATTTGGCGTGTTAGATAACAAACATTGGAGTGGCTTGTGTACTCTTTACAAATCAATTATTTTAGCATACAATTTAATTTTACCGAGCAATTAATTCAAATTCAATTATACTAAGTACTTACTACGTTGAATAACTTTTTAAAAAATAATCAAAACTATTTTAAACACATTTTACTAATGCGGACATAAGGTATATTAAATATTAATACGCCCATATCAGTGCGGAGGCACATAGATTAAAACATTAAAAAAAAACAAAACAACTGTAACTAAAAAAATGTTTTGCACAAAATTTGCTTTTTGAGAAATCGTAGGTATCGGTCGAATTAATTATAAATATTGTATTAATTATATTTATTTATTTACTATTTAAAACGTAGAAATAATAATGAGTGTATAAAAATATATTCTAGTCGTATCATACTATGTACCTCTGTAAAATACACATGTAGTAATATGCATTGTAAAAGATAAGACAACACAAAGTTCACTTGTATACATAAAAATGTACAAATATTTATTTAGCTTTTCCCCGAGTACCTAAGTTGCAACCGAGCAATTTTTTCTTGTAAAATAGCACATATATATTATTATACTTTACGTATATTATGTATTATACTTTTGCACAGTCACAAGGGCACAAAGAACACAATTAAAAACACTTTCTATAGGTATAGCGTATATATTATACATACACACACGTCATATTCTAAGCATATACATCATTACATCTACTTATATTATACAAGTGAAAAATTTCACAATACCAATTTATGCATAATATCTTATATATATATATTATATGTAATGATACACTTGAATAGTTCAGACAATAATGTTTTACAGGGGAGATTTACCTTGCACACCTTCCTCTCCAAGTTCCAATCAGTAAGTTAAAACAACTACGTCTGTACAAAGTTTCTTTGTCGACCTTTTTTTTTTTTATTGTTATTATTATTATTATTTTTTTTTTTTTATAAACGTTTAGTTAGTGTGAAATATATCCTTATATATTATATATATATAATATATAATATATATATATATATATACAATAAATACATATATTATTAATTATTATCTACCTATTTTTTTTTATATTATGGCGTGCAATACGTTATGTTTGCAGTTTTATTGACTATTCTATTCTTCGCTTATATAATTAATATATATATATATATATATTATATCAAGCGTGTATATATTATACATGTATTGATCAGTGGCGTGGTGAACTCAAATATTGTCAGAGCATTTTTTTCCAATACTCACCTCACCACCAACCAACTCATTCACCCATCGGCTAGTATGAAAACCTTTTTCTTTATCTTTCACTTAAAAATTGGTATAAGTACCTATGCTGTTTCAGTGATGGGGGTGGGAGAATTTCTAAACCGTATAAATGAGAAATTCAAATGATTTTTCTTTTTGTTGCAATGTAGAATAGAATAATCTTATAGATAAATGAAATTGTCACCAAATATTTATATTACCATTATTTCATACACATGATAACATTTTGAAAATATTTTGGAGCTTTTTAAGCTACCTATTAACAGACAAAAAAAAATGGTAAAAAATCTTGACAATTTAATAAAAGGTTCTTCATATGTGGATCTTACAGCAGTAAAAGATATTAAAAGGCCGTAAAGCAACAATTTTTGTTTGAAGTTCAAATTTTAAATACATTCGTCAAAATTACGAACATTCAAAATTCTTTTGTAATTAAAAATATATAACATTTTAATTTTAGGACAGAAAATATAATTTCATTTTAATGGTCTTTATTTATTAATAGAGATATAATATCAAGGGTGAAATACATGTGGCTCTAAAAACTGATTTAATACACAACTATAGGTAGGTACCTACACAAGTATAGTATTATGATATATATATTAAACATATATTCAAATTCAGATCAAAAATATGCAATAGGTACACCAAATTTATACCGATACCTATTTTATAAAAATATCTTATTGAGCATTTTTCCTGCGTTCATAGTAAAATACTGACAAAAAAAAATTACCACCTACATATTACCCACCCACACACCCATCACCGACACCACCTCAAAAAACTCAGATGTGGCCGCCTCTCGGTTATCCCCCATCTACACGCCACTGTACTGATGTATACTGTATACTCCTATATACGATTCACCTACATCACAATATTATATATTATTATTATTATAATAATGAACAAATGTCCTCATTCCTCTTCTTGAGTTATGCACGAGTAGTGGTATTCTATACCTTAATGTCGGTATATACGTATTGTATAACCACGTCGTTTACGTATATAAGATAGTCCTTATTACTATATTAATTATGATGAAACAGTAGATTAGAGTATGTATTACCCGTAGCGGTTTGTATTATATTGTATTGAATATTTATATTGCGGATAATTGTATATTTTATCTGATTGTTTGCGCACATGCACCTCTATAATAGTGACCTCTGTGTAATAATATAATGGTTGTCTCACCGTGTTTGTCCTCTTACACACCAGCTTCCCAACTATATTATAATATTATGTACGCTAAATACTATAATCTGCTCAACTTAGAACATATTATTATACCCAACTATTTGAACGTTTAATGAAAATTAGTAATTAGATTTTTTAAATATTTACATAAATCAGCTACTATATAGTATTACCTCTGATGTTTAAAATATAAATTTTTTTTTTTTATTTCGAGTTAGCATTTAGCAGACAGATCAAAAATTACTGTGAACACAAACACAATAATATATACTACCTATAATATTAACCTAACCTATATATGTTACTACATATATAGAAAAATCATCCATAACTGTAGGTATATACATATATTTAAAAAAAGATTTCCGACTGGGACAAACGTGGCGAGACACCCTGTGTAATAAATTACCTATACAAAACTATATTATTATTATATAGCCCATACGAAATGCCAATTATTTCGTCATGAAATAATATAATATACCAACGGTACATTATTAAACCGTCATTATACGATACGTCTATATATAATATACATTATAATATGTCCAATAGTTTAATACCTACTTGTTTTTTTAGTTGTTTTTTTTAAAAATATCATGCTGATTCATCCGAATCACAGTGACGACCTCAAAATTATATATATACATATAAATACAATAATATACACATGTGTATGTAACTATAACATAATATTATAAACAATTTGTGTGTGCGTGCGCATGCGTGGATTAACGTAGGTACACCGTACAGGCATTAAGTATAAGTAGTTGCATATTACTAAATTCTTCAGTATAATAAGAAGCAAATATATCTCTGATATGTTTAAAAATAAATGTTGTTGCGGTGTGCTCAAAAATATAAGTGTCGAACAACAACAACATTTCGTCTTACTCCGGCACTGTGCGTGACATATTACGTGTAAATTTGTCAAAAGAACATTAAATCGTATTTTCGTATGATATACTATAATACTGAATAGTAAGTACCTATATAAACCGTGAAAGTGTAAATAGAGATAAAACGAGTATGAGTCAGTGGAAAGGAGGACGAAGGGGTGGAGGACAAACAACGATGATATGAGCTGTTTACGCGAATCTGTTTATGATCGGAATATCGTTTTTGTTTTCCGCAGAGATAACCTTAGCGGTTGCGTGGAGGAATGCGGCGAACCGCAGCTACCCGCGATGCTGGCGGACGACGTGTGTCCGTGGGACCTGGCCGACGGCGGCGGCGGCGACAAGAACAAGCGGCCGCTGCCGGCGTCCATAGCCGAAGAACGCGAGCGTCGGCTGTCCACGTCGTCGTCGCGCAAAAACTCGGGCGGTGCGGCGTACGATTCAGCGGCGAGCGCGGACGAGAGCCAATCCGATTCGGTGGCCAGCCGTCTGCGGCGGAGCTGCGGTCTGGGCGGCGGCAGCAGTAGCGTGGACAGGCGCCGCGGGTCGTCGGCCGCGTGCACGCCGCAACAGACGATCGACCGGCCGTCGGTGTCGTCGGCCGAGGACTTCGACCTCGGACCGTCGCCCGAGAGCAGGTCGCCCGAAAAGCAGCCGTCAACGTCACCACACGAACCGGCCGGGGCCGCGTGTTCACTGGACGACAAGTCGAACAGGAAAAAGCTGCTGAAATCACTGTCGTTGGCGAGGAAACAGAGCGTGACGCCCGTCATTAACGTCAGCTCGGTGGACAGGGACAACGGGTGCGACCGGACCGCCGTGGACGCCGTAGACGAAACGGCAGCCGCTACGGCCGTGGTAGCCGAGGGCGTCACCTCCGCCGCCGTTACCGGACCTGGTTGCGGAGGCGGTCACCCACAGGAAACTGTAGCTTGCTGCAGTGGAGCGGAAGCGACCACAGCGACAGCGACTGCGGCTGCGTCCATCAGTGACGGAAACGACGTGTGTCCGTGGGAAGACGAGTGAGTTGACCGCGGCGAGCATCTTCTTAGTTTTTCCTGGTGTTGTTCCTCGGTGGTGCCTGCAATAACTTCCAAGTCCTCGTTGGATCACTCGAAACCATTTAATGCTTTCACTTTTTAAATACCATGTTTTATGGAGTTTAGTGGGTTGATCAAAACTTTTTTTATCAAATAAGAATCTCTGAATACTTTTTAAATATTTATAAAATACAGGGTATAAGTGTATAACAAAAATACCTGACAGACAGTGGCGTAGAAATAATTTTTGGGGTGGGCTATAGTAGACAGAAACTAGCAAATGATCTATTACTTAGAGGCTACCGTCTACTATATATTTAACAGTTTCTATAAATATATTCGTATTTGTTATTTTTCAACAGGCTATGAAATATTATAACTTATAATAGTACCTAATAAAATATATTGTTGTTCTATTTAAAAATACTGTAATTTCGGGGGGGGCTGCAGCCCACTGTGCCCACCCCCTATATATGAAACTGCTGACAAATGAAATAGTTTTTGTTCTATTCAATATTTAAAAAAAAATTGTATGTATATAATTTATGTCACTTGCACTACACTTATAATATCATTATATCATATTATTATATCATTTTTATTTTTTGATATTGAAAAAAAAAATTTAAATAAATTAAATTCATATTTTTCAGGAAAAATTCAAAATAGCCACTTTTTAGATCTGATTATAAGAAAAATGTTGATGGAAAAACCTTTATCTAAGTCAAGTAGTTAATTTTTTAGAATTTTTAAAATATATATATTTTTTTGAGTAAATTAATTTGGAGCAAAATAACTTTTTTTCAAAATATTATTTTTGGGAATTTCCTGACATGAGTATATTTCATAATTTATTTATTAACCACATAATTTTTACAATTTTTGTCATACTATAAGTTTAAGTACCCATAGTTTTTTTTTTTTTTGTGTCAGGTCTTCCTTTTACACCCTGTATACATGCTACTTATTAGGAAACTCAGACGATTTTCATTACTTTTGTCTACAAAAACGATGAAAATAATAATATATTATAATTTATAATATATAGATTAGGTTATAGTATATAATATATTAGTACCTATATAATACTGTCCGGTGTCCCAAACGCGCAGGGGGAACCATGCAATTTTTCGATCTACATAAATATTAGCCCGTTCCCAATTTTCATGCGATACTATCATACTAATACACTTTATTTATAATCTATAACCTACACAAAATTATATATATTGTTTAATACAGTTTTTCACATACCTACTACGATTGTTTCGTTTTATTTTTTTCAGACACAACCAAGATAAAGGCGGCCGATTTTTAAAGGTATACGAGACCTACGGTTTTCTGTGAACGTTTTTCGCCAAAGCATACATTCCAAATTCTATTATACGTTGTGTAAATATACGCCTACATTATACTACTTCTCGTATATATTATATATATATGTATAGTATAAAATATATATAATATAGCGTTCTACCTTAATATATAAATAATAATATTTATTCATCGCCAAACGAATGTTATTTTTTTTTATATTTAATTACGCGTGATAAAATATTATGTAAAACTCAATAAAAAAGAATACCCAGTCGAATTTTTCAGACTCGGTCTGTACGTTCAATGTTTGTTTAGTTTATAATATACATATTATATTCCAACGATATAATCGTAATTTTTAAAATGTAATAATTATTATAATATTTAATACATATTACGCGATCGTTAAAGTACCTATAAATAATGCAATAAGCATTTCGTTAAAATGTTGTAGGTACAATACACGACACGACGCGAGTACAACACACAACCAATATAGTAATTTATTCGGTGTTTATATATGAATAATAAATATATATATACAAGTGTAGGTACATATATATAATATGTATAATGTATATCTAACTGCAGCTAAAACGTACCTATGTATTTTATAATTAAGCTAATAATAATTAATAATTAGTTACGAATTGTACCTACATCGTATTGTAATATCTAATAATTTTTTTTTTAGTATACTTTTTTCGAATAAACAATTTTATTGATTTACTACTATAAACGATTACGTGTACAGCAATATCACAATTTATTTATTCTAATCAATTTAATTCGATTTTATAATAAAATAGATTCTTATTATGTCGATCGTCGATATCTTGAATTTCCGTTATTTCGAACTAAATTGAAATCCACTTGAAATTACCATTACATTCAACTATCGAACTACATTTCGAACTTTGTTCTGTTCCCCTTGAGATTTGACACAACGACAGTATACTTTTTTAGTGTATTCAATTGACGTAATATAATAATGTCATCAAATTCGGAATTCCATTATATTATTTTCAAACATTTTTATCTGGTACTTGTTTGTAAGAAATACATTTTCAATTCATAAATAACTAAAATTAAACGGTATGAAAACGAGAGCCAAAACTGTTAATTCTTAACGAAAATAATGATGATGATATTTATATAATCCATGCGATTGCCAACAGAAATAATGAAAAAGTAGCAAATTATGTTTAGTTCCTATTACGATTATAGCCGGTTTAGACAGTGTCTACATTATACATACTATTGTACGGAACCAATAAGGACCATAATATGATGGACCAAAAAAAAAACATATTCATTAATGATTTGTAGTTTGTATTAGAACAAACACTTGATTAAATAAAATAAGATAGAGGACGAACTTAAGCCTTAGGTTCTTAAACGTAGTCTAGCTATAATAAAACCAAAAACTGAGTACAGTTGAGGTTGAGTAAATTGAGCCCATACTCATTTCAACTCTACTTAGTTTTATATAATCAGTTATTTGACAAACTCAAACACAAATACAGTTTAAATTTGATATATTATAGCAATGCTTTTCATATTATATTATTATATTATGATCTTCGTGTTATTTAATGTTTTGCCACGTTTTACGTGAAAAAAAATCATGGGGAATTATTATATTATTATAGGTATACTAGATTATTTACACTAATCGCGAAACTCACACAATATTATATTATAATATACTCTTACACTACGTTTTGGCTTATATTATCCAAAGTGATTAATTAAACATATTTTATTATATTCTATCTAATATCGATATATATAATATATATCAAATAAACTTAATAATTAGGTTTTTAGATTAATATTATTAATACTTTAATACTTAAGCGTATGTTATTTTAATATCATAATAATTTACTTATTTAATATATTAATAATAAATATTATTATATCCTATATATTGACGTGTTAATTATACTAATATTATGGATATAGATACAATATGTATTTATAATTAATAGTTATTAGAATAAACAATATACTATAGTAAGTATTATACGCATAGCATTTGAGTTTGAGTTTGTCAAAACACAAATTATTTCCAAATTAAATATAGGTATCAGACTTAAACCTTTTTTGGTCATATAAAATTCAACATTTCTTATACGGACTTATTTTGCTACGGATTCACGCTATGACATGTATTTTTAATTTATTTATTTAAGAAAAATGAATTGTACATTTAATAAGTACCAGTTAAAATGTTATGAATTTGTGAATATAATAATCTGTAAAAAAAATTATTTATTTATTTGATATTTTGTTTTCTAGTTAAACGGTTTTTATTTAGTAAATGTAAGTGCAAATATTTTATTATAAACTATAATTTAAGTTAAAATTGTGATAATTTGTTTATGGAATTTTTAAGATTCATGTAATAGTTCATATAGATATAAATAACGTATTTATACCAAATAAAAGATATTATATTATAAAATACAAAATTTTTGTAATGCGCATACCATTTTAAATGGATTTGTAGACACGAAATTGTGGTTGTTCAATAAATGTAAATTTAAAACTTAAACAAATCGTAATATGCACAAACTACATACCTATATATGTTACTTAGGTTGCATATCTTGATATAATCGTCAAGTATACAACGTCATTCTATACGAAGTTTTAAATACCTAGCCTATTTACTATTTAGGAGGAAATATATTTTATTTTAGTTTACATATTTATTAATGTCTTAGATTTAGTTACGATAGTGATCATAGTTTGTAGGTATAATAAAATATTGTACCTATCAACTTATTAAATAAAATTAAAAAAATTACTTATTGTGAAACTTTTGTTTTATTATTATTTCATAAATATTCTTCGTCATTTTTTCTATATTTAAATCTTAATATTACTATAATTGTTATTTTATTCAATACGTACCTACCTAATGTTCATTAATTCAATAAAAGATGCTTTTGCAAAAATATAAAATGGTGTTAAATGTAAACGCGATAAAAAAACTGCAATAAGTCTCTTGCAATAAATATGTAAACCAACCATAAATTGATAAAAAAAATCCAATTGATTTGTACAAGAAATTATAGACTATAGTGTCATGTACACACTATACACTATAACAATTAACAGTGGTTCCCAATTAGCATTAAGCCAGTAGCCACGGACCCAGTGGCGGCGCTGGGGGTCCAGGGTAGTAAGGGGCCTCGCCTTTAAAGTTAGAGACCTTAAGTTAGGCCAAAAACTTAATTTGCCCAGGGGCCCCAGTAAAAATTACACCATCACTGCAAGGACCCTTATACTAAGGTCTAAGACTTAAATTGGACCGGAGACGCCATTTTTGTATATGTTTATGGAAGTTCCACGCTGTCTTTGAATGTAGTTTCATGAAAACGAAGAAATAATTCTTTACTCGTTTGCAGTGTTATCACTAGTAGGCGTTAGGGTTGGTTCTGAAATTGTATGAAATTTATTTTTTAATGAAAGATAAAAAAAACAAATTTTAATTTAAAACTGTAGTAGAAACTAGGAAGTACAATAAACATCTCTACTTAGTTAAGTTTTAATGCAAAATGCTATAGAAATATTTCTTACACAGTACTTTATACAAATTACATAATAATTATCTATTACATATATAGGTATATCTATATATATAGGTATATAGGTATATATATATATATATTATATATAGGTATATAATAATATCTTCTTTATAACATGATCCGAAATTAAATATTGATAATCACTAATCGGGTATGAAATCAGTATGACCATCTAGTGATGATTTTATTAAACATACCAAAAAACCCAGTTTAAAAAAAAATAATAAACAGTGCATAAGTTAGTATAGTCATAACCCTATTCGGCGTCATAATACATAAGGCTGCGACATCAGGGGCGGATCTAGGGGAGTTCAGGAGTTCAGCTGACCCACAGTTAATATTTGCAGATCAAATTGACCTCTTTTCAGATCTTGGGTAGTTGGACACTTGGACCCTCCAATAAACACATATACAGTATAAATAAATATTTTTTGTATTTTAGGTACCTAGTACACAAGTATAGATTAATAATCTGGTTGTAATAAGTGGCCCCTTGAATATGACCCACAGTTTCTTAACTCTGGATCCACCCATGCGCGGGCTTAGTCATTCTATCAAGCATAACCACGGACCACCTATTAGGAACCACTATTACTAGTTACTACTGAAGTAGAAAGGACATTTCAAGGTAGAGTTCAAGGGTTATGGAATATGGATAAAATATACAAAAGATACTTAAAATATATCGATGATGCCGTGATGGTGTTAGGATCAAGCGACAAGCAGTTTAAAAAAGATTAGTTTACCACGGCCTACCAGAAATGAAGAATTTGTTGACAATGTTTATTAAAAGTTGAGAGTAAATCCACAATAGAGTCTGGAGTTGGACATTGGATATTCAAATGTAAGGCAGTAAATCTATTGTATAAAGTTTATACTATAAACTATAAATGTATTACAGATTGTATAATATAATATTCTTGTTTTCTAATTAAAAAAAATTTAAAAAAAAAAGTATATGATCTACAGATATACCTATATTAAACTCCCAGATATAATATATTATATTAAATTGTATTTAATTTAATAGGTATATAATATTATATCTGTGGATATTATGGACAGGAGACGAGCAGCTTATCACAGCCACAAAAGTGTGTACAAGAGGCTAAGTGCGGGGGGTCACAATGTGCTCCTAGAGTTTACAGCGCCCTCTGTATAAAACACGGACTAATACAAATTGTGAATCCAAATAAAACCACCTGTAGCGCTGAAAACTTCAAGAACCGTATTCTTATCAGCTAAGTGACATCTTTTCGTGGCCGTCCCCCGACCCCCGCGACCATGTCGTTTCCAGTCCATTATATTATCTTAGTCAGTGATTATACTATATCGTGATTCAAACTAAGCTTTATAGACGTTTTCGATATAAAAAAATTCTTATTGTGTAATTAGTTGACTAATTGACTTTCAACCAAATAACCAATTTAAACACCCATCAGCCTGCTATCCACAATGGGGATTACGATGGTTGACTGTTTGAATAATGTCATGGTTAGACAATTTATGTGTGCAACTCAACTCGCAGCAATCGACTTCAAAGTAAAAGTAAAAATGTTATATTCAATTAACTTATTGTTAGATTTTCTGGATTAATTTTTTTTGTTACAGAATATATCAAAAGAAGTTGATTTTATATTAATGATCCTGTCACATCCAATGTTGCAGAAATACCCACTGAAAACTCTGTACATCACTAGGTTTTTGAAAGCAATTATTATTCAAGTATGGAATAGTAAATAATATGAGTAATTATAACTACCATAATTCTTATTATGATAACCTCATTAGTCATTTATGATAAAATGTTGAAAATAAATTTTCAACAACATCTTGGTTTAAATAGGTAATTAAAATTAAATTGTTCTCTTAAAAAAAAAAAAAAAACTACTCCATTTATGGTTTGAATAAATTCATTGCAATACTGTGGTCAAGTTACTTTCCCATTTTTTCAAAAAACTGAAGCTTTTATTACATAATCTTTGACTGTATTTATTTTGTTAATGCCCAATTATCATATGAATTTTTTCTATATAATGTTCTACTGACAATCGTGAAGTATGTCTATAAATTTGGCGAAATCAGCTGAAATAGATGCAGTTTTAGATTTTAATTCTTTCAAAAAATTATATTTTGAATAGTTAATGACATAAGAGCTATACATGGCTAAATATTAGAGCAACTAACTTAACACGCATTTTTAAAAAGAATTTAGTCATATTATGTGTGCATCTTTAATTTTCAATATTATGCCTTGCTTTTAATATGTTTATTGTCTATATCATAATATCTTTGTACAATATTATTAAAAGATATTATTTTATCTTTTTTGAAAATTACTTTCAATGAAATTATTTCTTATTTTTTGGGGTGTTTTAAATAAGGCGAGAATAAGGCAAACATTTTTTGTTCACGCACATGTATAAATGATTTATCTTCTAAAATAACCAATGAATTTAGAGCACTTTGGTTATTACCTAGTTCTTTGACCACATATGTTTAGGAAACAAACCAACGTCAATTAATTGTCGTTTAACATCAATGATAAGTGTTTTTTTAAATATTTTTTTTGACAGCAGAATGAGCTAAAATATAGGCAATTGAAATCTATCATGAAGTATAAAGACCCCTGTCATAAATTCTAAAGCAATATTAGCAGTTTTACTTGTTCTTCCTAAATCTTCAAATCCTTCTATGAAAACAAATATTTTGAATATTCATGATATTGCTTGTTTTGATCACTATAATGTATTGGTAAATACTGATTTCATAAATATTTTTTGGTTTCTTTATTATTGTGTATTAAATAAAAATTTTAATAGGTACTTAAATAAAATAAATTACTTTTCAGATGGAAAATAATGGAAACGAATTGTGTGATGACTTATATTTAAAGTATGTTGAACTCATCCAAAATGAATCTAATGAAGGACCTTTTTACAAACACTATATACTTGGTAATAATATTAGCAACGAGTTAACCGAGTCTGTCATAACCATCCAAGAAAGTACCAGTATCGTTTCGCAAGGAACTACAGGACTCTGCACGTGGCAGGTCAAATTTTAAACATTATTTAACCAATGTATTGTTGTATTACTTAAACAGCCATTACATTTCTTTCAGGCAGGTATAGCACTAAGCTGTTGGTGTTTGAAAAATCAAGATATACTCAAAGATAAATTCATCATCGAGTTGGGTTGTGGAACTGGGTTGAGTGGAATAAGCGCGTGTTTAAATTGTAGTCCAAGCGAATATTGGTTTACAGACTGTCACTCAGCAGTTTTAAACACCTTAAAACACAATATACAAATTAATGAAACACATCATAAATTCAATTGTAAATATGATACTATTCAACTATCTTGGAATGATATAGAGGATTTAAAAATGTTTGAAAAGAAAAAACCCGATTTAGTTCTAGCAGCTGGTAATTTGATTATATTCAATCATGTAGGTACATGTGATGATTTATAATCAATTTTTTGTTCAGATGTGATATTTGATGATACAATGTTTGAACCATTATGTAGTACGTTGAAATATTTTACAAACAATATTACAACCGAAATAATACTGTTTTGTACATTGAGAAATTCTGAGACTTATACAAAATTCCTTGCAACTCTAAGTAAGAAATATGTTGATATTTACTTGTTTTTTAAATAAGTTAAAATAATTCTAAATATTGCAGTATTAAAATATTTCAACTATTTTATTTTTTCAGAAAAGTACGACCTACATTTTGCACAAAGTGTCTTACCTGACAATTACTCAATTGTGTTACAACAAAATTGTCCAATATATATAATACGTGTACAACAAAATGCAATCATGTCTTAATATAATATATTATAGTTAATTATGAATCATTGGTACAATGGTTATATTATAAATAAATATTTCTTTGAACTATTCTTCACCACACATACTGAACACAAAAAACAACATTTTATTTATTTTTAAATGGATCATAGTTGGAACTAACTTTTGGATGATATAGTCTGAATTCTCCAATAACAATGTCCTTTTCTTTCATTGCATTCTGAAAATATAAAAAATATTGTGTGTTAAAGAAAAAATGTATTATACAAATACTCTACTCTAGTAATCATTTCAATGAAATATTGGGAAAGAATATAACTATAGACTATAGTATTCTACAGTATACTACTATATAGGGTTAGAATGTGGTAGCATTTTGTACATTTGTTTGAAGCGTCCAAAATATAGCTAAGCGTGCTAAAAATCTGTTTCACTTACAAATTGATTTGGTTTTGGGATATTTTTTTTTATAAATGTGTATTTTTAGTATGTTTATAGAACAAATGCATAATACAACATTTCATTTGTTTTTAGATGGTTCATAATTAGAACTAATATTTGGACTAAATGGTCTGAATTCTCCAATATCAATGTCTTTGTCTTTCATTACTTTCTGAAATTATAAATCAATATTCCATGTAGTAAGTAGTAAGTAATAAAGTTGAACGGTGTGAATAGATTTGTGGTATAATTAGGCAAATAGTAAAAACTTAAATAATATAAATGTTTTGAAAATCTCATTATATAATAGTATAGGAAAAAGATTTCGGATTTCCACAAATAAGTTTTGAATTACAAAAAATAAAACTAAAACCGTTGTTGTTCGTTTAAACATCTAGTTTCGTGAAAAGTTGAACTTCAAATGCTTATAAAAAAAATTGAGCATATTGTGTATCTTTAATATTTCTAAATAGCTAAAATAACAACCATTGAGAACTTTGTGTTACATTTTCAAGTTTTTTAACCGAGCAATAAAATGTTTAAATATATTTTTTTTAAAAAGAAATTACGTCAAATATCTACGGATAGTTTGAAAATATTACAATATGTAAAGAAAAAATTAACATTTACATTTTGTTCTTTTAAGTATCTACCTCAACTTGTTTTTTGAATTACAACAAAATAAGTAAATCAAAACAAGTTTTGCCTAAGTTTTTATTTTTCTCAGTTATAAAAAAAGTACTAGCAATTTACTTTAACCCTATGAAACCAAATGCTATACTATCAAAAAGAAATTTAAGTTTAAAATCAAAGATTTTTTTCTACTATAAAATATATCTTCAGCAGCAAAAAGAAAAACATCATTGTAAATTTAATGCATTCATTGCTCTGCTTAGAATTTAAAAATGTATACAGAAAATTATACTCTACTCTAGAAATCGATGAAAAATTAAGAGATAGTAAATTTTACTAAGGTTAGGATGTTGTGAGCCGTAGGGTTTTCTATATTTTTTTGGTTAGCCCAAAAGATAGTTATTTATGATATTATTTTTGATATAAATCTGTTTTACTTACTGGAGATTAAAAATGTATTATTTTAATTCTGCATAATATATTGAAGATTGATAAACTGTATATTTTTAGGTCATATCATTGAATTTATTTTCAAAATTTCCAAATAATCAATTAATCAAAATAAAAAAAAATTGTATACAATTGTATAGACTATATTTATAGTTAACAAAAAATATCTATTTTGTTTACTGCTATTATCGTAAATTAGGTGCCTATATTGATCGTATTTTTTATGGCCTGTGATATATAAGAACAATTAATAATTGATTTGGTTTTGTTCCAGATAACTAAGAAAATGATAACCATTAAATTATAATTACAATTTTTCGAAGCATATTTAAATTTTTTTCTTGAATAAATGTATTGCACAACATTTTTAATAATTTATTTTTGAGCAAATAATAACATTTTTGCTGCACATCACTTACTTATGAGGACATATTTCATAGTTTTATTAAGTATGTAAATTGTAACTATAAAAATATAAGATATGTATTACTTAAATATAATTTAAATGTAATTAGGACGAAAATTGAGCAGCTGATAACCATGTTGTTAATACCAAAAATATTTAGTATATTTTGAACATTAAATAAAAATACAAAAGATAAATAATATAGAACACAATTTATTAATTGTAATTTACCTTGACACAGCCTGTATAGTTCTTCAAAAGCTCTGAACACACAGAGTCATCGTTACTTCCTTTAAGAAATTTATCCCTGAACCAAGCATTAAAACACTGGTCATATTGTTTTTTAAAAGATTTGCATTCATCCATAGAATTTGAGTCATTCCTATAATATAATTGAAATAAAATAAATTACCTTTAGCTAACTATGTACTGATAAAATGTTTTAGCACATAAATTATCTTGGTGGGTGTCCGGATTGAAACATAAAGAGTTCATTAAAAGGTAACATGCTTTGAAATAAAAATAAAATCCACTGTTAGAAAAACAATCACTTTAAATTAAAACATGAAATTAAAACATTTTAAATAAATGTCACACACACGCTAAAATAATTTATATTTTATAACATAAAAATTGTACACTACACTTAAAATTGACCAATAATTGTTTTTTATTGTCATTAAGGAAAATGTAAACATATGACTAGGTACAATAGTTTATCATCAATCATCATATTATATAAAACGTTAAAAATACATTAGCCAATAGGAATTTTACATTGGATATTTTATTATAATCAAAGAAAACAACCGTTTTTTATATGCAATTAATATAACATATTAATAGGTTAACCTAACTTACCATCAAAATATAATTTTTAATACCAATTTATTATGTTGTATTATTTATGTATAACTACTATTAAGTAATGGTCCAATATGTGATCTACACTCTCATTGTTGGTCCAATACACAACCTACACACTGATTTTTGGTCCAACCATACGTATATATAGAATGAGTTAAGAATACCTATATAAAGGAATGTATAAGGTATACATATATAGGAATGTACGTATTTCTTTGTCAGTATTTATTTTACCATAGTCATAGACATAATTTTACATATAAGCAGTGCTCGAAGTGGGGGGGATACGGAGGGATGGCATCCCTCTACTATTTTGTTAGATGAAGAATAGAAGAATGTTAAGGCGCGTTTACACGGTTCACTCTTGGTGATCATTTTGGATGAATCATCCACAGTGAATAAATTAGAACAATGTAAAATTACCATCCTCATTGAACGATTGGGTCATGTCCAACTTTCCTTCACCTCTGGATGATTACATTGTTCTTATTCATTCACTGTGGATGATTCATCCAAAATGATCACCAAGAGTGAACCGTGTAAACGCGCCTTTATAATGATATCAGGAAATCTGAACTGTAAGGCATCCCTCCATCTTAAGCCATTTCGACCACTATATATAAGTAGTATTTGAAGTCTAATTGATTTTGAATTGATTAATCATCAAGTTTATATTGTATACCTTTGTATATAACCTCACAAACAATATCTTTACCCTCCCCTGACAATTTTTTTTTGTGTAGGTTTTTTGTAGTCACTTTTCCACCATATTATTTTTTAAAAATGTAAGACTGAAATTATTTTTTTTTGTCATAAGACAATTACATTTTCAAACATTTCCATAAATATTATAAATTATAGATGAATATTTTTGATCATTGCCAATTTGAAACAAAAAATTCTTATAAAATGATAAAATATAATAAGTAATGTTTACAACAAGCATTACACTAATCACAATATTTTACAAAGACCCATACCAAATATAGTACTGTATTAGGTACAATTTAATCAAATAAGTACATAATACCTATGTATTTGAGAAAATAAAATGTAATAGGAATTATATACTTAATAATGTTTAAAATAAATTAAGTGAAAATATTATAACTTAAAGATTTTCTAAATAAAATGTAATAAAAAAAAAAAAATGAAAGATTCCAGAACATTGTGTTGACTTTAAAAAAAAAATATACATTAGAAAACATAAATTTTCATTTTAGTTTTTAAATCGGAAAATATTAGTATTAAAAAAATTAAAATGTATCAGAGGAAAATGTACAACATCTATAGTAACATTTAACTATAGTTGGGGGAAAAATTGTTTATTTACCATTTAAAATATTATGTGAGGTTTATAGATTTTAGAATAATATGTCAATGCCTATCTACAATGTAGCAAGTCTTAAATTATAAGTTGATAATCATTGTTACTTGTTATGTTATACTATTAAACAGTGCATAGATTTAAGTTACCTAACTAGTTTGTGTAGGTAAGTGAAGTAAAAATAAGTAAACAACTAACTCACCCGATTGGGTTGAAAGTATCGAGAAACTTTCTTTTTTGAAACTCAAAGAGAGATTTCTTCAGTCTCTAGGATAATTTGGGTTTGATTACTTTGATTAAGCAACTCATATTAATTATTTAAACATTTAATAAAGTAAAAAAATAAAAATTATTAAATTATTGAATTTTAAAATTTAAACAGATTGGCTGATTCTCATTTAAATATTTAATAGATAACCAGTAACCACGGCTATAGATACCATTATCTTAATTCGTGATCGTGATCGAAAAATTGAAATTAAATAATCTTCACCGCCCATCGGTTAACAAATATCTCATTTCTATGGTTGTTACAACTGATAAAGTTAACCTAAAAAATATCAAATTGACAAATCGTACATATTATTTAAATATTTTACACATTATTTATTATTTTTGTATTATCAACAATCAACTATCATTTAAATACTAAAATATAACAAAATAAATGGCAACAACCGACGACCCAACATTTCACTTGTATTCGGCCACTGAATAATTACTCGGGTTGGTTTTTTATCTCTAAGAGTGCTCGTCTCAAATTTATTCGAAGCAAGTACCGCACCTCTTGTAGAAGCATCGAACCATCGTTTACGGTTTGTACGGCGAACAGCCATCAGTTAACGCCATGGCCACTCCGACCAGCGGCAATGGAAATTTGGTGGACGAATTCGACGAAGCGTTCATGTCACTTATCGAAATAATATCAAAAGAAGAAGAGACGTTCTCGCCGGTTGACAAAGAAGAAGTGCGTGTAGACATAGATCAGTGTACCATGAGATTCATCGACATCGCTAGACAACTGGAGGCGTTTTTCCTGCAGAAACGGTTTCTCTTGTCGGCCTTGAAGCCTGAACTAATCGTTAAAGAAGATATATCCGAGTTGCGTTTGGAGTTGGCGCGTAAGGATGACCTCATCCGGCGGCATTATGATAAGATCTCTATCTGGCAAAATCTGTTGGCCGATTTACAACAGGTTGCCAAATCGCCCGCCCAGAGCACTATGGGCCAGAGTCCTATGCCAGCACCAATGCCATCGCCCCTACCAATCGGCCCGCCCCAACAACAACTATCGCCTCAAGTACCTGGAGGTATGGTTTCGCCACAACAGGCCATGTTCTTACAGCAGCAGCAGCAACAGCAGCAACAACAGCAAAGACCTGGTCCAGTGGCTGGTGGACCGATGCCTGGTGCATTGCTACAAGGACCATTGGCATATTTGGAAAAGACCACCAGCAATATAGGAATGGGTGATGGGAGGAGGTGACGAGGTCGGGGACGAGGAAGAGGACGCGGTAGGGCCCATCTTAGTCCCCCTTGACCACTGGCAAAGGCACAAAATTGCTGCTTTTAAGCCAAACGAATTGCTACAAATAATCCTACCAATTATTTTGTGAAAGTCACTTGTACACTACTGTAAATATGTTGTAACTCTATAAGTTGTTCATAAACTGTGTATTTATGTTTTGATATTGTATAATATGTTTGATATAAGTTGTAAATTTTGTTTTATTTTTGATTCTTAAAGCTGTATATACTTGCTTCACAATAATCTGTAAATGTAAGAAATTATATAATATTATGTAATGTAGTTGTAATTTTTGAGCTATAATAATTTAAATATTGGAAGCTAATAAAAAAAAAAAATTAATTAATGTAATGTATTGCTTATTTTTTCAGTTAATTGATTATAGTTCATAGTATTATGGTTAGGCAATTCAGTAAAATAAATATAATATAACTCATAATTTAAACCAAAAACATAAACAAAAGGTTTATGCAATTCAATTGAAAGAAACCGGAGAAATCTGTAGTAGGTTTAAGATGTACCTCGTTATTGAGTAGATCACTGTAATCATAGAACAATCTGTAATAGAACTGTTAAATTTTAATTTAACTGTAATACTAAAACATCAAAAATACAAAGAGGTTTATTGTGAATAATGGTTCTGAGCCGGACCAAGCAGTCAGCCAATATTTATATTTTGCATTGATTCTAGTTTTTTTTTTTCTCAAATTTCTATAGTATGTCATCTATTTTAATGAATCATTTGTTTAAATTGTATGTATGATTATCATTTTTAAATTTTTCTTTTCATAGCTTATGAAAGAAATTTGAATAGAATGTTCCTAACAAGTTGCGTACCTCTATCAAAAAAAAAAATTTACCGGATAGTCACGCTATTTATAGGCATGGCCCATGAGATATTTTAGATTATTTATAAGTATTTGGAAAATTTCATTGTGTATAAATTATGAATGAATAATGTATGAACTTTTTAAGTTTTTGTGATTAATATTGCAATTTAAACAATCACAAAATTCTTTGGGGATAAATCATTATGTTAAATGACATCACAACTCTAATTTTTTATTTTAAGTTTATTTGTTTATTTTTGTAATTTATAGTCAAAATGTTGAAAACGTTTTGTAAAGTCCAAAGTTAAAACTTAAAAAAATGATTATTCAACAAGATAATGAATTTGATATGGTGATAATTTCATGTCATAGAGCAGACGAGTGAGCCAATATTTTACGTGTAAAAGTAGTTTGATTTACACAATTATTTTAATAACTTACTACTTACGCCTTACGGCAGTATTTAAGAATTTTTTTTTCCATAATCCCAAGTATATTTATGTGCTTAAGGTGATGGTGTAATTTAAAATTTAATAAATCTTGTTATTCTTTTTTTTTTTAAATTTTTTTAATTTAAATATATTCAATCTGTTTACAACAAAAACAATAGGTATGGAATAATAGGATAATATAAAAAAGTATATATGTACAAACATGAATCGCGTGAAGAGTAGACCATTCATTCACAGAATCTCAGAAATTACTAATTAGTTATTCTATAAATATTATAAATTATAATATTAAGTTAAATTATCGACTCGCGTCGTATTGTCGTCAGTGTTCGGACTTGTCTAGATAATTAATTGTTCATCTTTCATCTTATCTAGATAAACATAAAACAGTTACAACGTATCTAAATGTTCATTTTAGATAATTTTTTTACTAATCTAAATAAATTCACCTAGATACATTTTTTATTGATAAAAATCGCGAAATTGTACAACCGCATTTTTAAATATTTATACAGATTCTCAAACAAAGTTTATGGTTTATAAATAATGTAATTATTTTTATTTGTATCATTATTATTATTATGTTCCTAGTGCCCAACTAAAATATACCTAAATTTAAAACCATTTAAAAAATAATTGTACCTTTTTTTTATCTAGATAAATATGAGTTAAGTTATCTTTCATATCTATCTAGATTCTAGATACATTTGAGTTGCATTATCTTTATCTTTATCTAGATAAAAAAAATACCTATCTAATCCGAACACTGATCGCAGTGGCGGCGCGAAATCGTGGAGGCTTTGAAGCATATTGTATATTTTAAAAAATTTTACCACCTCACCCTTCATTAAATCAAATTAGCAATAAAGGCCAATAATAATTATTAATTATAATATTATTTGCCATGATATTTGTGTTGAGGTCTTACGAGTATATAATATATATTTATACACCCACCCACCCATTTCAGACTTGAAGCAATTGCTTCAAATAATCCTATATCCCGCCGCCACTGTATTACACTGTAATACTATATAGTATATAGGTGATCCGAGTTCTAATGTTGGACTCGATGGCGTCTAATTGTACACCCCAATGTTTTGTATACAATAATATTTATTAGAATTAATATACATATCATCAGCCTAATTCGCAATATTGTCCTAACTCCAAAAATGCGATTTTGGGATTAAATCCGTTTCAAATTCAATTCGTAGGTCCACGGTCGATGATTAAATGTGTAAAACTATAATATTTTATAAAAACAAATATTCAAAACTAAATTTGTGCATTTATTGGTGAATGGTGTCGCCACTCTAGATTCTAGGGCCTAGAATATAAGTAAAACGTGTTGGATTTTTTTTGTTGGTACCTACCAAAATAATCTTATTTGTACTGACTAATAAAAAAAGGTGCTCTGCTGTACAGTAAGTTACAAGTGGGTCACTGTATAATGGATGGTATTAAATTTGATTTCAATATATATCATTAGAAACGATTCTGAGCGGAGAAGGTATGTCAGTCTAGGTATATGGCATATTATATACTTATTTATGGTATTAAAAAAATTGACCTATAATAGGTAGGTAGGTACCTACAATAAATTCCAAATTAATCATATCACAATATCCATTAGGTACTTATAACGGGTTATACATCAACAACAAACCGTGATACTATCATAGATATATAATAGTACACTTTAGAAGTGTCAAGTACCCACGAATAATATAATACAATCACAAAAAAAAACCAAAATCGTTAATATCGATTTTAATATGTAAATTTCTTCCAAATTTTAACTTAAAATGACTATAAAAATAAACTATGCTTGTGTATTTTTCAGAGTATTTGGTAACAGAATTAACTACTTACATGAAATATTGTTTTCAATTTTCAATTCTTTGATTAAAAGTTAAACATTTTATAAATTTTTAACTAAAAAATAATTATTCAATTTCAAATTTGATAAATTTTGTCAAAATTCGATCTTTAAATGCTTATAAAAAAAAATTGTCCACAGGTATTTTACATATTTTTCAACTGATATTGTAACAATATATCAGGAGCCTTGTATTAAATTTTTACACTTTTTGGCCCAACAGATAAAACTTTATTGATATTTATAGAAAAAAAAAAATAAAAAAATTGAAAACTGTAATTGTCCGTAAACAGCTCAAAAAGAGCCAAAATATTTTCAAAATTGTATGGTGAATAAGAAATGCTAATATAAATATTCAGTGAAATTTTCATGTATCTAAAGTTATTCGTCTTTGAATTACAACAAAATAAAGAAATCGCTACATGAGAAATCGAGTGAATATCAAATGTTGTAAAAATTTGAATTTCAAACCCTGATAAAAATTTAATTTGACGTTCCGGTAGAGATTTTTTTATTGATAAAGGTAGACAAACTTATGAGTAATCTTGTATTACATTTTCAAATCTTAGATTTAAAAAGAAAAAGTTTTATGAATTCTTAACTCAAAATAATTTTCTAATTTTCATGATTTTTCCATATTTTGTTCATTTTTGAACTGTAAATGCTTATAAAAAAAAACTGTGACTAAGGATTTTTAATATTTTTCATCTGCCTTTGAAAAAATATACTAGGAGCCTTCTATTAAATTTTCAAGCTTTTTTAACTAACAAATACAATTTTATTGATATTTTTAGAAAAAAACTAAAAAAAATTTTAAATGAAAATGTCCCTAAACTGTTCAAAATAAATCAAAATATTTTGAAAATGTTATCGTGTATAGAAAATTCAAATATAAACAATCAGTAAAAATTGCATGTGTCTTTTTTTTAATGCTACACCAAAAACCAAATTCAATTTTTTGAAAAATCGATTTTGCGTAAAACTTCCCGTTTTTCCTTAATTTTTCTTTTGTTTTTCTTGGCACTTCTGAAAATTACTGGGAATTTTAAATTTTTATCTCCCCAATGCACCAACGATATTCACTTTCCAATCGAACAAGATATTGAAGTTGAAATTCGAAGCATTATTTCGACTACTTATCGTGTACACAGACACAAAAAAAAATATATAAAAAAAAAAAACACATCATTGTAAAATCTATACATTCATCGTTCCACTCAGAATCTAAAAAACATTTTTAGTGCATTTAAATCTGAACCCTAGCTTATAAATATTTTATGATTTTATAAACCTATTATTAAATAATATAGGTACCTTAATAGCTATATTTTACTTGTATAAACAATTGTATTTATTTATTTATTTTTAATTAAACGTCAAGACGGCAATACAAAGAGGTTGTAATTAGTTACTTAGGTACTATACTCTTTTCAGAATAAGAAGGAACCAGGCGGCCACGGACAAAACCGGTTTTGTTACTTAAATCTGGTGCGTTCTTATTCTGAAAAGAGTATATGTAAATAGCATATAAGCGCTAAAATCTAACACGTCTTAAATTTGGCCATCACTGTTTACTTAAGCCTCGAGGTTAGGAACAAACTACTATGGTCTATGGCCAGGGACGGATTGGGCCATAGGGAAATCGGGAAATTAAATTAGGGTTAAAATAATAATTGTATATTATAATATTGAGTCCCTGCTGCACACACATATATATATGGTTTATACGTTGCATAATGTTTGTAGACGTATATCACAGTATATGACAAAATGTACGACTATAATAAGTTGGTTAAAATGTATTCAGGTTTACGCAAATAGACTGGCCAGTTCTAGACCTTATTGTCGTTAATAATAATAATAATAACAATTATCTCGTCATCATGTCCTCCTGTCGCCGCTACATAACCTGTACGTTGTTAATATTCGCCGCGTTTCCATCTTCTGTGGCATTAATAGAAATAATATAATGATAACAATAGCATAATATAATATTGTATATAGTGTACATAAACCGATAAATCGTGTTTCTTACAATAATCACTATGTCGTGTGATTCTCAGAATTTTATATCCTCCGCAATTCGAAGAGCTTTACAGTAGCGGCGGCGAGGCAGTTGTTCTCCGTAAGTTGTGTTGTACTAAAAACATTTTAACACCGTTGTGACCCAAATTTGATTTGTATCGAAATCCATAACTTCGTCGAATAAAACGTGCACGAACCGGAAAATTTAGATTTGTATATTCTAATTTTCTTTGGTAATTATGTAGTATTATTTCCCAAATTTACAAATCATAGATTTTATTCAAACAATACAAGAACTTTTAGTTTTGTATTTTTGATCAGTATAACTAAAAAACAAAATTTTAATAAATAATTATCGTACCCATAATATGTTAAAAAATTTAGATACTTTCAGATTTACACAAACAACAAAAATATCGTTGCCATGTTTCAAAAATCTACAATTCATATCTGTGTCACATAGTTACCACTTGTCAATATTCATTTCTTGTGTTCATTACGGATAAATTTCATTCCTACGTATTTTTGTATAATCTTCTCCGTTAATTGTGCCAATATAATATTATCAAATAAATATGTCATATAGATGTGTATCTATGCCTAACATGACTGCGATGTGTGAAAATTCCTCAGCCAAATCGACAGATATTGGATGGCGATCAACGCCATTTCTGAAGTTTAACCGTACCAATGATATACGAAGACTGGAACCCTCGAAAATTGTGATGCCAAGGGTTTTCTGGACGGCAGGTTCTGTGTATCCGAGCCAAACATCTCCATACATCCAAAATTAGCTGGCGAGACAGCTGCAGATATTGGGTGGCGATCAACGCCAAATCTAAAGTTTCAGCAGGTCACCGGCGATTTACGGAAACCGGAACCGTTGAAAAATTGTGATTCCAAAGGTTTTCTGGACGGCAGGCTCTGTGTATCTGAGCCGAACATCCCCATGCATCCAAAATTAGCTGGCGAGACAGCTGCAGATATTGGGTGGCGATCAACGCCAAATCTAAAGTTTCAGCAGGTCACCGGCGATTTGCGGAAACCGGAACCGTTGAAAAATTGTGATTCCAAGGGTTTTCTGGACGGCAGGTTCTGTGTATCTGAGCCGAACATCTCCATACATCCAAAATTAGCTGGCGAGACAGCTGCAGATATTGGGTGGCGATCAACGCCAAATCTAAAGTTTCAGCAGGTCACCAACGTTGTTCGGAAACCGGAATCTTCGAAAAATTTTGATTCCAAGGGTTTTCTGGACGGCAGGTTCTGTGTATCTGAGCCAAACATCCCCACGCATCTAAAATTAGCTGGCGAGACAGCTGCAGATATTGGGTGGCAATCAACGCCAAATCTAAAGTTTCAGCAGGTCACCAGCGATGTACAGAAACCGGAGAGTCCAATACACACACGTCCTCGTCGTTCATTTTGGCGCCAGACGAAGAAATTTGTCAGGCGGTTCTTTTGTTGCTGTGGTTCTACTGACATGATAGACCAGTAATATGTATATTATAGAGTTTAAAAGGTTTTTAAAACCGTTATCTCACTCTTGGTTCGCTGGTACTATTCTGAAACCGTTTATCGTGTCCTTCATTCTCGTTTGTACCAAGTTAGTGTAAGTTTGCCTCACTTATTTCATGCAATGTACCATATCGTCGGCTCTTCGCCACCTGTTTTGTTCTGTATTAATTAAATTAATATTATTATGTTACTCATGTTATACTTATTATTATAAAGAATGTACTATGTATTAATACCTATCTATTATATCTGCCTCATTCGCTTTGCATAAATATATGTAATAATCCTATATATGGTCACGCAGGTGGATATTGTATTGTCATGGATGTCATCGATTTTCATGATAGTAAAAAATTAAAAATTATCTATACTAGAGTGGTTGACAAATGATTTACTTCACCTTCCGTTTATCCAGCCCAAAATCGAGCCATGTACGGGTGCGTATAGTATAATATGAGCGATATATTATAAGTCCAAGCCTCTCCGTTTCGACTAGTTACGAATTATATTATAGTATTTACCTATTCGCAAACAGCTCGGTGTTATATGCCTGCGGATAATGTTATTTGTTCTGCATCGTGATATGGAAATAGCCGAATACACACTGAAATAAACGTGCAACCATGTAGACGTCTCTGCGGCAAACCCCGAGCCGTAAGTTTGAGCTTCAGCCGTAGAAAAACATTAATAGGTACCTACTGTTAAAAATCGTGAGTGGTGAGTGGGGGCATGGACCAATTGCGCCTAAAACAAAATTTTTATACTAGGGTCAGTGTACCAATTGCGCCTCTTATATTTTAGGGTCAGTGTACCAATTGCGCCTCTTATATTTTAGGTCAGTGTACCAATTGCGCTCTTTATATTTTACGGTCAATATACCAATTGCGCTTGTATTTAAATTATATTATTCTAAATTGCCATGCTCAAATTAGTGTACCTACCTATTATTATATATATTAATATAGGGAATTTTACCTATGAAACGTTATTATTATTATTACACACATATTTTGATCACAGAAGTATACATTTGAGTGATGGACGAAAACAAGTTTTCATTATCATCGGATATATTTTATCAGCCTAATTGTTTCGTTGAACACAACATATTGTAGATAGAAGAACACATTGATGATACCCAATATAAATATAAATCGTATTGATAGGTACCCAATACTTATGTCTTGTTAGTCGTTTAGTATTAGTTTTAGTTGTTTGACGTTACAATATGGATCGTTTTACAAAAGCTTTAAGTGAAAAAGGTAAACCGTTATTAGTTCTTGATGAGTTTAAGTTTCGAAAATGTACTATCTCAAAAAATGGAATAAAATGGAGATGTACAATTAAATCGTGTACTTCGAATTTTTTATGTGATGTAAGTGAAACGGTGCTTTTAAAATCTAATTTTGATCATAACCACGAAGCAAGTTCAAATATTAATAGACAAATTGTTGTTAATTCATTAAAAAGAAAAGCAACAGACCAAGTTACAACACGACCACTAAAACTAATTACTAATTAGGAATGAAGTGCAATCAAGTGCTTTAGATTTGACATAAAACGATGTGCATTCTATACGACGAAGCGTTTATCGTACTCGTAGAAAAACGCTACCACCTTTACCGAAAAATATAACCGAAGTGCATACAGCTTTAAATAATTTGGATACGAATACCAAATACCAAATACCAAATTAATTATTTTAAAATAATTTAAAACTTGTGACTGGTTAGTGTACCTATTCATTTATTTGTATTATACTTTTTTTAAATCATCATGTTATTATTATACCTAGTGGTAAACAAATATATTATTCTGTAAACTAACCAAATTATATTTTTCTAAATTGTAATGCCATGCTCAAATTATTATTTAAAAAATTATTATTATTCTTAAAACATGCAAAATACAAACATCATGATTACCTTAAACTCAAAATCTTATTGTTATTATTATTATTATATCTTTATGATTTAACCACCTATTCTATTATTATTAATATTACCTATTTTATTTTAGTTTGCATTAACTAAACTGTATAGGCTCGTTTCACCGAAACAAAAAAAAAATCGGTTATTAACAAACTAATAAGTTTTCCTTAGGTAATGTATTGAGCGCAATTGGTCTATCGGCCCTAAAATGTTTAGAGATGATGTGAAGAAAAAAATTGTTTATTTATTTATATTATATTATGTATTATACATTAATACTCGCAAAAAATCGGTTAGCATAATAATGTATTATATGATTATAATTAATAACTAACTAATAACTTTTCCTTAGGTAGTGTAAAATGTTTTGAGCGCAATTGGTCTATTGACCCTAAAATGTATAAAGCGCAATTGGTATATGAAAAGGTCATTTTAAGCGCAATTGGTAAACTCCCGTGAGTGGTACTTAGAAGACGCGCCAGGTGTTATTCGCACACTCCACACGTAGAGTCAGTATATTATAGTCCAGTGGCGGCGCGAAATCGTGGAGGCTTTGAAGCATATTGTATATTTTAAAAAATTTTACCACCTCACCCTTCATTAAATTAAATTAGCAATAAAGGCCAATAATAATTATTAATTATAATATTATTTGCCATGATATTTGTGTTGAGGTCTTACGAGTATATAATATATATTTATACACCCACCCACCCATTTCAGACTTGAAGCAATTGCTTCAAATAATCCTATATCCCGCCGCCACTGACTGATTGTCGTATAAACCGAATTTTATGAAATTTACTAAAATTGTTAAAATAATTGTCTTACCTGCTATGAAAAAACTAGAAAGTATATCAAAAGTATAATCATACTAGTGTCATAAACACAAAAAAAACACTTTTAAAGTTACATAAAAAAAATATTATCTTTAATGATTGAAATCGTTGTACAATCTTTGCTACAATTTTACATATACACCACCGCCCGTTCAGACTTCGACTAGTCAGTACGTCACACTCATATTTTCAAACGTCTGTATCTCATAGAATAATTAGTGTTAAAGTATAAGACTCGCAGGACATTTTTTAAATAATGACATGCTTTACATCTGACCAAACTTGTTTTTAGAATTAGAAATTGAATTTTGAATATGCGAGTTGTCAAAATTTGAACATTCGGCCTTCATAAAAATATATGACTGTTAGAGACATAAATACATAATCATAGACCTATAACTCTAACTTTAGTTTATAGGTCTATGGACATAATTCTAAACTTTTTTCCTTAAAAAAAAAAAAAAAAAACAAGAAGAAACTTGTATTAAGGGGATTCCACCCTGGCCCTGTGATTTTCTCTCTTTGTCCAACACACACTCAACATAGGATTTTAGACGTGCCAAACATACCAATTGATGTAATGATGCGATAAGAATTTTGAAAACAGATTTGAATTTGTCATCAAGTCTACTTAAATCGACTTTCCTACATTCTTGCTATTATCTACCAAATACTTTTTGGAGAAATTAAAATCAAAGATGTGGGAAGGTCAATTTCAAGTACACTTGACGAAAAATTCAAATCTGTTTTTAGAATTCTTATCGCTTCGTTAGATCAATTGGTATGTTTGGCAAAGAAACGTCTAAAATCCCATGTCGCGAGTGTGTTAGACAAACACAGAAAATCACAGTATCGAATCCCATAATATTTTCAAGCTCATTGACCTCTTCGAAAATGGAAAGCTTACTAACCAAGTTATTTTCATATAAATACAAAAATAATTAACAAACTTGTACTAAAATCTATAAGTACCTAGTTGTTTAATGTTTTGTACTATTTTAATTGTATTTAAATGTACCTATCATATTATTATTACCTATTTACGATTTACCTATAGGCTATGTTCTATACGAAAATTTAAATGTTTACATTAATTTGTATCTATTTACAAAAAACTTTATCTAATTTAATTAGATAATAATATTTCTTGTCATCTGGACTAGAAAAGAGAATCTAGAGAAATATTTGTTTTCAAATAAAGATAATAGCGAAAATAATTTGAACAAGCATTCTGCATTGATCACTGAAACATGTCTTTTTGCTGTTTATTTTTATTTTATTAAATAACAACAAATATTGGAGCTTATTATATTTTTTTTTATTTAGAATATTTTAGATACATCAAAATTCTGGAGAGTTAAGTCTCTAAAGCGGCCAAGCTCCTCTTTAATGTACAAACACGTCCTCTATAGTCAGTATAACATTATTTTTAATTTCTAAATAGAATATTTGTATAATATTGTATCCATTTATAATAGGAAGCAACATTTTGTTATGAGCTTATGACTTATGATGATGATCATTAAGCAAGCAGTAAATTGTCAAGGAAATTGTTGCTTCGGATAGATATATTGTCACCTGGTCCAGTGTTTGGATTGTTGGGAAGTTAGATATAAGGTACTGTGGTACAATTATTACTTTATAGAAGTAATTTAATGATAATTTAATTACATGTTATTCTAATAAGTTAATAAAAAGTTACTTTTTTGTAATAGAAATACTTAATTAAACGTTAGTTTATTTTTTTAAATATCAATTGATAGTACATGCAAATATATTATGTAAGTACGATTTTCTGACAACAAGATTTTATTTTTAATAAGTAGTAATTTGGAAAATGCATTATTTAAAATAAATTTAAAAAATAAAGAATAGTGTGTTAATTCTTTTTTTGCTTATTAAATAAACATTTAATATAATTCCTTATTGTTGTCTTTTGATTGTCATAACTTTGTATCGACAACATAATTATTAAGCTGCTTTGATATTTTTATAAAAATTTAATTTTAATAAAGTTATGTGACTTGACTAAACAAAAAAAGCTTTCTTAGGAATAATTTAACTACCAAAAAAAAATAACTTCCCAACTAGACGGCCCAGGCCCTAAAGTATATTATTTTACTTAGGACGACATCGTAGCCGCATGTGTAGTCTCCATCTTACGCATGTATGACATCAAATTTCCATTCACCAGTTTCAATAGTGTGCTGTAAGTTTTTATATTAGACTGAATTGACCTATTATAAAAATTTTAAATAAGAACATTATTGGTTATCTACCATTGGTTTTTTACAGTATGTTAATTTTTAAGTGAATTATGAGCATTTTAATATATTAATATTTTACATACTCAACTCACTTAAAAATTAAAATATCGTAAAAACCAATGAGAAAACACAGATAATGTTCTTACTTAAAAGTTTGATAATAGGTAAAAATTCACACTAATATCAAAACTAACAGCTCACTATTGAAACTAGTGAACGGAAATTTGATATGCCATAGCCAATGAGTGTGTCAGACACATGCAGGTACGATGTCTTCCTAAATTGACTGTATTGTTGGTTGACCAAATAATTTCCTCGGTAAATAGGAAAAGATATGTTTGTTTAAAGCTTATTTGTATACAGAAAGCATATTATCTATTCTTTATAATTTTACCAATGATTATACTTTTAAATATATTTATTATTATCATATATCATAATCGTTTACATTAACACACATTTATAATGTTTACCTCAATCATCTGAGGTTGGTTATGGCACTATAATTACAAAATATAGGGCCTAATACAAAATACAATCATTTGTTTACATTTTAAAATTTTATACAATTGGCCATCATTTCATTAAGTGGTAACCCATATTAATATTATAATTTATTAAAATATGGAATAGACTTTAAAAATCTTTTTAATGTATTATAATAATATAATATAATATAATAAAGTAATGTATAAATGCTGTAATTTGAATTTAAAAATAAATTAATAGTTACAACACTTAATGACATATAAACACATGTTTTAATTTTAAGATCTAAGTCTAACGAAGATAATGAGAAAAAATTGATTTTCACACAATCAATCATATAATATTAACATGAACGTCATCAATAATACAGCTAATTTAAAATCGCCGAACGAATAAATTAAATGGCATCGGACCATAAATCAGTCTAGAAATATAAACATTTACAGTACAACATAAATAAATTAAGTATAAAATATATAACAATGACAATTATTTTAAAATAGACAACATGTTCCACATTGCAGGTGGTAAATGTAATACTTGAATGAATATTATACAAAAAATAATGTTTCAGCACCTCATCAATGAAACGCAATAATAAAAATCCTTATTATTTTTTTGTTTAACGCGTAGTTACACTGGCTTGGAACATTGAATGCAATAAATATCGAGAAAATAATCGATGGTATAACTTAATTATATAATATTAGTCTTTAACAATACGGATAAAATAAAAAAATAAAGAATTGTGCAATTTAAATTTAAAAAAAGTAAGATGAGCACTATTGACAAAAATGCGGGAGGGAGCAGTCGTATATCATCGAAGTATGCTAAAATACGTTGACAATTGACACAGAATAAAATTTAGTAACATTTTTATGAAGTTTTCATTTGAAAAAAAAAATTATGTACATCTAATTGGGTATTGTAAAAAAAAAAAAAAATGTTTAGGAAACGAAGGCTGTGACGACTGCTTAGTAAAAGTAGTAATAGTAGTGGTAGTAGTAGTAGTAGTAGTAGTGTAGTAGTAATTTCAGAATAATACATGAAGTGGCGGCGTTCGGTCAGAAGCGATACTTGGTCTGGGGCGATCGCCGGGGTTGGTCGTCGCCCTCAAACGTTTCTCATCCGCCGGTACCGGGAGTCCATCGGTCGAATTCGATGCCGCTGTCCGGGCTCTGGACGGCCGTCGACAGCGGGCTCAGGTAGCTGGACGTCGACGAGCCCGTCGAGTTGGCCGACTGCTGCTTGGACTGAGTCCGGGCGTCCAGCAGCTGCTTCTCGAACGAGTGTAGCTGCTGCATGAAGTGGAAGTTCGGGTCGATGTTCGCCTTGCGTTTCAGCACCATGTTGTACGCCTCGTTCAGCGTCAGTTGCCGATGGGCCATCAGGTACGCCAGCATCACCGTCACCGAACGCGATATGCCCGCCAGACAGTGCACCAGGACGCCTTTTTTCTGCGCCCGACTCTTGTCTGCAACGAATAACCCAACGCATCGTGTTATTATTATGTATAATGTTTACATAGATTAATAGTACAAACAAATTATAGGTTATTATTCCGGAGATTTGACTGAAATAGCGATCGAGTGGGGTCCGAGAGACAAGGGAGAACCATATTAAAAAAAAAAAAAAAAAAAAATAGAAAGCCTTAATTTTCTAAGAAAACTTAAAATCTCTATTCGTAGACTCACAAGTAACAACGACTAAAAAGGGCAAACATCGAAATATTTATTGATGTTTCAGTTAAAATTCTGAATGAAATTGAAAAACGGAAATCGCGTTTTCGACAATTATTTATTTTGAGCTATAAAACTAGATTTTTATATTGAAAAAAAGTGAACACAAGTTACTATACACAATACACATACATTCTAATCATTAAGGTAAGTTGCATGAACTATTAGGATATTTGTTTCAAAATGTATTTTATACATCACAACTTTTAAGTATGATAATGATAATAATAATAATAATAATAGAGGTCATACTCTGGGCCGACGCTGTTTAGCAATTTGCAAATGCAAACAACCGCCCACGGCCCACCTACGAACGCGACAGCGGCCCGTCACGATCAACATTCAACACCAAATCACGACTAACCACGTGACTCCTGAAATAAATACACGCGCTCACTCAGACGCCGGTAAAAGGTTTATTTAAAGGCATACGTCGTAGCGTACCTGTTAGTTGTTACGATGGATTTCGTCGGCTTTGTTACACGTGGTTATTTTCGTACATAACCCTTTCAACCCACGCAAGTATAATAGCGCCCCCGCGTCATGGAAATGGTGATAATTATTATTATATCATAATATCAATCCATATGGCATGTGTGCATAATATAATATTATTATACTTTACAGTTGAATTCGTGGATATCGGTATTTCGGTCGACCCGGTTAAGTACAAACACTACAAACATGCACCAAATACATCAACGACCGTTGTAATGGCGTGTGTTTATATTATTATTAATTATTATTTATTTATACTTATTAGTTATTAAGAGGATGTCAGCGCACTATTTGTTTTCTCTCTCTGGCCCACGCGCAGCATAGACAAAACGCATGAACGCAGAATCATTTTTTCTATGTTTTAAGTAATCTTAGAGTAAAATCACCTATTACAAAAAAGATAGAGAATAATATTTTTGAGGGAATGTCATATCGATTTTATATTTTATTGTTATTTGACTTTGTATTCGACTTTCAAAATAAACAAAAAAAGTTGTACATTAAAATGATGTTTAAATAGTTTTGAGACAATATTTAGACAAATCGATATGACATTCCCTCAGAAATATTATTCTCTATCTTTTTTGTAATGGGTGATTTTACTCTAAGATTACTTAAAAACATAGAAAAAATGTTTCTGCGTAAATGTGTTTTGTCTATGTTGCGCGTGGGTCAGAGAGAGAAAACAAATAGTGCGCTGACATCCTCTTAATACTAAAATTGATTCTGTCGCTATTATTGAAAACCCACATCAACGGATGTGGCACCTGTTTGTTTTCGACGACGATAATAAACTACGAGCCAATTACGCGGGTCGTGTGCACGATATACGATTATACAATTCATTGTGTATAATAGTACTATTCTGTAACCTATTAATACTAATGATCAATATGTAAAAGCCGGGGAATAAGCGAGCATCATGGCGATCATTTTGATACACCGGTAATTACAAATACCAAGAGCCCTACAGCCTACAGGCCGAATACCGTGCCATGGGATGTTGAATCCGATAGAATATAGAGCAAAACTTTCGTCTAATTATTGATGGCAATGTTATTAGACATTAGTTAAATAATAATATATATTTAACCTAAATGACTTCACATGAATATTATTCGTAACTTCAATGGCCAGATCGGGGTCATCCTAAGGAGGGGGGCAGGGCCCAGGCCCTGGGCCTCGAGCTTTTTATGTACATTTGGAGGCTTTGCATTTGAAAAAAGTGGTAAAATTGGTTTAAAAATTGGTATTTGCCCTAGGCCTCGCAAATCCTAAGGACGGCCCTGGACCAGATTACAAAACGAACTGTTACATGTGAGTGTTATACAACTTATACTTAATTGTTAATAATGATTAACCTGAGTACAACGATTTTTATAATATTTTGATTCATGATAAAAAATGTATTAAATTGGTGTCTGGCTTGCTTAGCAATTGGCACTAACTGCCGCGATTTGGGTATTATGATACCGGTGTTCAAATATTGTATTACAATGTACAAACACAAATTCATATTTTAATAAATTTTTTTTATAATAAAATAATAATTAATCATAATGTAAATTCTTAAAAGTATAATATTGTTTAAACCGTTCAATTTAATTTCTTGTCTTCTCTTTTGGTAAAAAAAATATTTGTAGTTCAGTCATTAACAACGTACCTAGGAAGTGCTCGGTAAATTACTTTTAATAAGTAATAAAATTAAGGTTACTTGTTACATTAAATATTTCTATTTAAATTAAATTCGTGTTACCCGACATTATTTTATCGAGTTACTTTAGTTTTACATTCAAAAGGTCGGGCATAACAAAGAAAGTTACTTTAAAAAAAAAAATTAATTACAAAATCAGTCCATAACAAATAATAAGTAGTAGGCACATTGTTAAGGACTTAATGTTATACATGAACAAAATGTATAAGTATTAGTTCATGGGAACTTATTACTTAATAATATTGTTAATTATTATCTATTATAAAATCTTTCGGAATCGTAAATAAATTGTATTGACTTTTAATTTTTCTCAAATATCCTAGCCCCAAGTTTTTATCATATATTCAGACCTTCTACATTCGTAACTTTACTTATTATACCTAATAACGTGGAAAACTGGAAAATACCCCGTTACTTCATAGAAATTACTTTTAAGTTGATTTAAATAAAATATAATGAAATTACTACAGCTGCGTTACTGCAAAAGTAATTTCGTTACAGTAATTTGTAATTTGCGTTACGTTACTACCCGACACTGGTGCCTAGGTACCCAGTACGTACCCAGTGTTCACACGTTGAGGTTTCAAATAATTTAGCTGGGAATTTTATCATTATAGTACGTTAAATGTTTAAGAATCACTAAGTACTTGCGTAGCCGTGTGTACAGTGTACACTGTATACGCATGGAGGAAATGTTATTAACTGGCACGACTAAAAAGCACCGTGAGAAAATTAACACACATGCGGCGGCGGCGCGTTTTAGCTTCGGTTAAAAAAACAATAGGCAAATCTAAATCTTAGAACGCATTGCGCAATCTTTGTTATCTTTATTCGAAGAATTGCTCACATTTACGGACAATGGACATAATGGAATATGCATATAAACACACATCCGGCAAACTCACCGACAACGCTCATACCAATATTATGTATTTATTCAAATTTTAAGTATACTTCTATAAACTGTATTAACAGATAATTTGGTTTGTACGGAATTTTATAAGGTGTTACACTGTTTATAACTTTTCAGATGAGGATTTGCCCGATTTTTCATTAAACATAATTAATTATAACTAATATAATATATTATTATGTTATGCACTTATGCATTCAAATTTATATTCGTTATAGTATTTTTCAAGTCGTTCTACGTGGGTTACTACAAGTTAGAAACTATTATATGATTAACAGTAATACAGCATAAGACACGTGTATATTGGGGTTTGTAATTTTTAAAAATTATCCTAGTTATAAGTTATAAGTAAATAAATTAGGTAAACAATTAACAACGTGCCTAATCGAAAACAACAACTACCACTTCCGTCATCGACGTACTTAATTTTGAGAGCGTTCAAACACTATTAGAACAAGTTGCACACGGTATTTACTATTTAGTGCTTAGGCATTTAAGCGTATGCGGACGGCTCACGGGAAAATTAAAACGGAAATATCAACAGGACGTTACGCGCACAGGAAGGCGGGAATCCGCTACGAGGTATAATAATAATAATAATATTATATATTACGTACGTTGTGGCCATTGTGTATGGACGCGACCGACTGCAGTGCTATTGTGTAATTTTTAAAATCCATTTCCGTCGTATATCATTATTATTATTAATATTATTGTTCGTAACCGAGGAAAAATATTACGAAATAAGTAATATCATTAAAAAATCAAACCCGTACCGTATGTAAGATGTATATGTTTATAGACATATATAGTATATTGTATAATGTATACATTATTAGGCGTATATCGTATAAATAATAATATGAATAAAAAAAACACACAACGACGATTTCTACCGGAAAATGTGTACAATGTATAGTCATAGTGTATACTGCCTCAATAACCCTTAAAAATTAATCCCAACCACCTCGAGGCTCGACAACACACATGCATATTTCATTCACCATTGTGCTCAGATTACTTCCACTCACATCGTCAAAAGCTCAATAATAATACAGTTTTATTTTATAAGAGAAATCCGAGAAACCATTCAAAGTTCTGAGCGCGCCGGCGTCCGACGACGGCGGGTGAGAGCCGTGTAGTGGCGTCTGTTTAGTTTGTTGAAAATATTTATTCAACGAGAAGGCCAAAGGTTAGAGCAGAGATTCCCAACCAGGGTGCCGCGAAAGTTTTTTAGGGTGCCGCGAAATTATTTGAAATATTTTTTTAGAAAAAACAATTTCATTAAAAATAAATACAATGTAATAATTTGTTTATAAAATGTAATATGTATATACTATGCACCTAAAACCTTACTACTTTTGATTATACTTATGCACTTATAAATAGAACCGAAGTACTCTATAGTATAGACTATAGAGCATAGGGTGCCTCCGGATTTTTAGAAAATGTCCAAGGGTACCAAAAAAGGTTGAGAACCTCTGGGTTAGAGAAACGGTGAGAATTAGCTCAATCAACTGAAAAAAAGTTATGGACAAATAAACTGTCCGCTACTATTTTTTTCATTTAAAATCCGTCCAACTCAACGTTGCTGAAAAAGACTGCTACCCATAACGTATGATTTTGTCTCATCAATTCATCACCATCGTCATCGTCCTCATATTATATATTTCGAAATTTGCTTTAAATTGGAAGTTTTTACTTACTCGCATCCAATGACGAAAATAAACAGCCACTGCTCGCGCCGTTAATTGCCTACCCACGACCCACCAACATACGATTATATAATATATAATAATATATTGGATATTATCGTGCTTTGATTCGTCAACAACCGCACCCACACAATATATTAAATCATAAAAATAATAACCCGCTAGTTATTTTTCGAGAACAACAAAAATATGTAAACTTATTTAAAAATGTCATCCTTCCCAAATTAAATCGCATTCCTTCCTGCAGGTGGCCGGTGAGTATTATAGTCATCCGAGATGTCACGCCGCGGCTGGAACTAATCCAGTGAGTCAGAAACGACAGAAACTAGTCAGTAATAGCGTTGTGTATGGCGTGGATTAAAATCGTTGCAAACGATGCCAATAATTCGACTGCAGAGTTAAATTTACTGTTTTTGCAATTTACTATAAATCATTTCTAATTAAATTCGGAATTATTGAATTCGATATCATGCGACATCGCGACGATAGTAAATTATATCGTATCAAACAGCAAGCATAGATATCAGTGTCGGATCGATTATGAAGGTGTGGATTGATGGAAAAAGGCCTCTGCGAAACTTGATCACGTCATATTATGATGTTCCTGTATCGGAGCGGAGGCTCTACTTGATTGTATTTTTATTACATCCGTTTAGCACCATTACACTAAACTGTATCGATCTAACATTCTTACATTAATGTAATACTGTAGTTGAAATGGTATACGCAAAATCGACTCTTAAATAACCAATATTCTTCAGCTAACCTCCGTCACTCCTGACAACGAACGATCTGATGAGTTGCGAAACTTAGTCGGGTCAACGAATAGTGACCTATATTCTCGCGCAAGGGTCGAGTGTACGGCGAGATATTTCGTCTCTGGACCGACAGGGTGGTGCGTACTGTGTGTTATCGTCATTGCCGGGGGTGTAGTGGAGGTGCACTGTCGGCGGCCCTCCCCTACAGACAATACCATCATATACACTGCTTTGACCCGGATATTGATCGTGACATGGTGCGAGAGCGCACGCGTGCAACGACCAATGCGACGGCCCACTCTCATTCAAATGTTCAGTTCATTGATAAAATGTCTCTCTACCCCCTCACCATTTAAAACATTACTCTCCTAATACTCCTACTCCTACACGGCTACCCCTCCCGGCTCCCGATATTCCGTAACTTGTTGATGGGGACGCCAACCTCCCCCCCCCTGACTCCACCACCAAACAGTTTCACTCCGTGTTTCGATTCCGTGCGCGTGTTATAACGTGGATCCAGCGCGCGTGGGAGCATTTTCATTCCGGCATATACGTCGGCAGACTGCGTGGGCGTCTTCATTCAAGGAATCAACCAGCGCGTGCGCACAAGAACATACTCACGCACCACGAGTAATATAGAGTGTATATATATACAACAATACGACACCACCACTAAATATGTGTATACAGAGTTAGAAATTTCATGAAAATAATATCACGCTGCCAAGAAATCACACGCTAGACGTTTTTTTTAATATATACTTCAAATACGCGTTTAATTATAGGTGTACGACGGGGAAAAAATAAACGTAATTTTAACGCATCGTACAGCGGCGGACGGACATTTAATTAAAATTCTTTTCGGGGTTATTTAAGGCGTTAAAAAAATGTACGGTCGCCAAGAACTCCTGGAACACGTGTTTCATGTCCACAGTCCGTTCGCCAATATCGATCCACCATAATCTATTTATGAAAATATTTCAAATATAATATTATGTACTCGCGGTTACTATCATACGTCATAAACTGTTATGACTTAAGACCGTATAACCTATATGACCAAAAATGATATTTCAAAAACGATTGAGTATATAGTATAGGTAATAAATTAATTACCATAATGTACATATAGGAAATAAATTATTAAAACTACTATAGTCATACCGATCACTCTGAATCTTTTATTATGTTTATTGAACTACATAAAAAATATTCCTATACGAAATTAGAAATGTTAATATCCAAAGTTTTGAAATTTAACGTCCATGCGCAATCGGTAATATTTCAAACTCACACCGTAGGAACGAATAAACAATACATCATACATCACGTCATCGTCATTTAAGGTATACAGTGACATGGAAATTGCAATAAAAATATGTCACACCACTTAGAGATCTAAATTTAAAAAGGAAATGTTCAATTTACAATAAACAGTGAACAGCTGATATAAAATGAATAGTGTCGTACGCCAGATAAAATTAAAACCTGTCTTCACAACCATTAACACATACGATTAGTAGGAAACAAGTAAACAACAAGAAAACGCTACGCTAAGTTGAATTTTCTCAACACTCATTACTATCACCGCCAACATACATATTGTAATATTTTTTTTTGCAATTCAATTTCGAAACTGGCCGGCAGAATAGTGCGACGGGATAAAATCATGGACATGTGCGAAAACCCACTACTTCCTCGCCCACAGTAGCGACGTTTATTGCGTTTAATATTTCGGCGAAACAGTGACAAACACCTGCGGCACGATAATACATCTATCATAAAAATACGTAATACGTAACCTACTATGTAACCCGTCATCACAGACGACACGCCCAGGGCAAGGAATAAAACGAAGTTGGGAGTTGGGACCCGATCGTAAACTGAAGTGATAGAAAAATTTACCGTATAAACTATAAACTCACCGATAAATTCTATTGCTTGAGGGAAAAAGCTGGCAAGGTTTTGTCCCATATGATCGGAAATGGGTATCTGCATGTACTTGATATGTCCTTGTTCTTCGAAAGTGTTAGGCAAGTCCGATGTAACGTTCAAAATATACTAAAAAAAAAAAATCAAACGAGCAAACCAATTATTAATTGTGGAATATACAATATTAATATTATATTATGATTTAAGGTTCAGGGGACGTTACAATGACATATTTTGTTGTCTTCGTCTTACAAGTAACATAGCAAATTTTAAGCTCAGCAGAACACGTTTAGCTCCGTTAATGTAAAAAGTAGAGCGAATTTACCTCTTATACAATTTTGAGGTAAGATTTTTATCTAGACAATGACATATAGGCTTTTTATTATGTTTTTAATTTTAAAACGAGTTATGAGTATTTTAAGATGTACAAACCGTTTACGATTTGAAAATACACATAACTCGCTTTAAAATTAAAATATAATAAAAAGCTTACGTCATTATCTAGATAATAGTCTTGCCTTTAAATTATATAAGAACTCAATTCGCTCTAATTTTTAAACTAACGGAGCTAAGCGTGTTCTGCTGAGCGTAAAAGTTTCTATATTACTTACTTGTAAGACGGAGACAACAAATGTCACTGTATCGTCGCCTTAAGCGCTAGTGTGTTAGAATTAGTTATATAGTTTGTTATACTATTTTATAGTTCGGCACTCAGGCACTTTTGCAATTAGACAGCCCGTTTAGAATTTTTTACATTTTTATCTAATTTGCTGGTTTATTTTCTAGCTTATTGTATGAGTTTACTAACAGTTAAAAATAATTTTTAGAGCCGTTTAGAAATCATTTATTATTTCACCAAACAGACAGCTATTTATATAAGTATGAAATTATGAAGTACTACATGTACACTATACAACAATACCTTGGTATGCATAAACATAAACATAATAATATGTTATAAAATACACATAATATTGTTATTATTCCATTATATTTTATTACATTTCCTTAGAATATAATATAATATTATTTATATGATATATGATAGCCCCTACCTATATAACTAATATTATTATTTATAGGCAAATATTATATTAAAACAAATATTTTAGCACTAATTAGTAATTAGACATTTGTTAGAATGTCCGAAAACCAAATTCTAAATGTCAACTATAGTTGATTTTATACGTGTTATACTGTTATTTAATTTTATTTGAGTTATAGCAATATTAAAATATATATTATTATTTTTAATAATATGTAGGTATAATGTATCTATATATATATTCTATAATATAAAATAGGTAATAAAATATAATATTATATGTTTAGGCTAGGTTACCTATATTTGATCATAATTTTTTTTTATATTTTATTATTCTATACAGGTTATTTTATATTTTATATTAACTGCACACAATAAGCAAGTCGTTTGGATTTAAGTAGTATCTAAAGGTACCCTCCCTACCTACAGACTTAAACAGTGAAACAGCTCGACATCTAGACGTCGTCGACTATGTCTGGCCCTGACTGCCCGTCAAAACGCTGCAAGGAACCACACTTAAAAAAGCTTAACAGGCTGAATGCTGCCTTACTGAACAAGCTTGCAAAAAATACAATTTTTTTAGATCTATGGGATATATTATGAAATTACCTCTATCCGGTGTTTCTTGAGCCATTCCAAGTCTTCCGAATTGGTCGCGTTACCGAGGAATAGGTCGGGTAGGATCTCCACGGGAAAGTCACGGTCCTCGTCGTAGCCAAGTATCGAACTGGAGCTGTCCACGTCAGACAGGCTGTCGATGTCCGAACCACCGGAGCTCTCAGGTGATGTGCTGAGGACGGACAGTAACTGGTGCTGGCGACGTGCGTTCCGGGTGTGAGGCACAATTGATGGGGTGATGTGCAGAGACCGCAATCCCATCAGGGTGTCCGTGTCGCCAATGTAACCGGTCATGTCGTCGTTGGCCCGGGCGCAACGTTCCAAAAACGATTCACACCATTCTGGACACGATTGCTGGAACGCGTGGAAACTCTCTGAAAAAAAATTATAAACACGATCGTTATTGCATGATTGATTACAATAATTGTATAAGAAAACCACAAATCTGGTGATCTGTAATCTGAAAGATCTGCTGACAAATCAATAGTATCTGCCGTCACATAGGATTAGAGGAGCGGAAATATAACGCGCAACTATTTGAAATATAATTAATGTCTTCAGCTAATATATTATAAATATATATAACAATTATTTTTTCGAGTTTGCTTACCCTGCTTAAGAAATTATTTTCACACGTGTCCGTCGGTAATTCTATATACAAGTCCGAAACTACTGTTCCGTTTCCGGAGCTAACGAGTTTTCTATTACCACGTCTACTAAGTAATAACTGACAGTAGTTATTACTTAATACTTACTGACTACTGCTATAAATAACTTTTTACGAGTAGGTTCCGAAACCTTAACATTGTATTTATTACTAATGTCTATCACCAAGGTTCATGATATTTTAACGCGATACGTTTTCGTCTTTTTGAGTGGAGGGTTTTTGTGCATTGATTGAAATTCTATATTATAGTCGTGTGGAAATAAAGTTATGGGTTAATGAATAATAACCATTAAAAGATAATCATTTATAAAGTAAAGGTGATGAATTAATTGGGAAGTGTTTTTTAAGGGAAGGGGGTAGATATAACATTTAATTTGGTACAGTTCGTCATTTGACCCAAAGTACATTGTATATAATTAAAAAAAACTAATGAATAGATATACTAATTAAACAAGTGTAGGAATAGTTTTTATAATGGTTTAAGGATTTCCGTAATATAATGCCAAAAATAGTTTCCATACCATATTAAAATTAAATTTATGGAAATTGACATGACTAATAAATATGTTGTTATTTTTTTCAGCTAGTTTGTTATATCTGAATACACTATAATCGAACATTTAACATACCTTTGCTATAAAAGGGTTAGTTTTCATGGAAAACATATTTTAGAATTTCGTCATGCCTTTTCCAATGACTTCAGTGCATCAGTGCATTATTTACATGGCAAGGCTTCAATGTTTTAATTTATTACTTCACATAAAATCCACTAGTAACAAGCTGTGTCCAAAACTCGTTGTTTATGGATTCATTGAAGTGTTTAATACAAATCATCATTCTTTATATACGTGAGTACGTGACTAATATATATGTATATTGTATATAATGGTTGAATTCTTAACGTCGTCAACTATTTTGCTTGCATTATAATACATATTATACAACATGTAAGTTGTAACATATGGATGATATTTATTTAGATGTTTAGTTCATTGTTAATAAGTGTATAAGTGGTAATTTATAATATACCCTAACCCCGAGGGCCGAGGTGTGTCTTTCAACATACACTAACACATGGTAACAACATCCTGACGCTTCAGGCCTATTCATAGAAATCCGTTCGTAACACATAATCAGGCCGACAATATTCTAACTTTAAATTCAAAAACATAATGAAAGTGACGATATGCTATTTAAATATATATAGTTAAATTTCGATTATTATTGATATTACAAGACAAGTTAAATTTAAAATAATAATTACAAAAAAAGTGTATAGGTATAAATCAAAATAACTATGTCCTATATCGGTTATAATTATGAGTTCTAAATAAATATTTGGCAATTTAATTGATTATCGTCTCTCAATACATTATTATTAGTTATAATATCAAAAAATCACTGTAATAATCGTAGATGAACACGTGAGTAGTGAGTACCTACGACGAAAACGATTTTATCTATATTATTGATGAAAATAAAATCATTTTGAAAGGGATTCGTGAACATTTTTCGAACGAATAAAATCACGACCAATGATATTATATTATGTCGTATACAAACTAGCAAATATATAATATAATATTTTTTATCTCAAGGAAAATTACGAAAAGTATTTAAATCATGTATAAGTTTCAAATCAAATTTTCCACCACCCACGCGTGCACTCGTTTTTTTTTCATTTTGTCAAAGTAAAGAAAACATTCCCTGTAACAGTGTGTGTGTGTGGGTTCGCGATGAGTGGGCGCCGCCTTCACCGCGCCTGATCGCCTCGTGGTAAATAACATTGGCGCTTCTCACAAAGGGTCCCCCGTCGTCGTCATCTGGACCGGGCGGCGGCTGCAACAACGACGCATCGATCGGCCAGCACCGACCGGCTCAAGTATATACAATATATAATATAGAGACGTATAGTACGCACAGCTCAGGCGGATACCCGACCGGAAATCAAAATTGGCCCACCGGAAACCGGCTGCCAATAAAGCCGGATGATTTATTAACGAACGCACGACGACGTACCCTGCCACCACCAACGCCCTACACTCTTATTCTCAGGACATATTATATTATATTATATACCGAGTGTTTGTCGAGTCCGGTCGCGTTAATCCCCAGACGGGAAAAAAATAACAAACCCATCTATTTTTTTTTTAATATAGTTATTATTATCGTCGTGTACGCGTTATACAACTTGATATACTCAAGAACACTCTTCCCTCTTGAGCGGGTTATAGCAATAATACGAAAAACCACGAATAAAAATATCATAATCCTCGCGTAAAACAAACAAACGCGACCGGTGCTTGTCGAGGTCCTGCACGCGTAATCATACATGAAAATGGGTCAAGATGAAACGTAATAGCGACCCACGTACAGTAACAACCAACAACCCCCGGGAACGCCTACTCGGACAAAATGTTCGATAAACGGCTGGCGTCAACCGGTTTTAATTGTATTTTTTCAAACTTCAAAATCGCCCACAGTGACACCATCGTCGTGGTTGACAAAAATAATCTTAATAGAAAAATATTTTCTCCTATAAAAATAAAGAAATAAAAGTAAAAATAAAGCTCACGGGACAGGGAAGGAATCGGGCAGTGCTGGTCAACGCACCGCACGTGGTATTTCCATCCGTCGGGTTACCACGGGGCACGGGTTAGCACGAGGTGCGCTTCAATGAATATGAATATGAAAACCAGACTGTGGCAAGACGCGTGATCACGTACACGTTCCACATTACATAAAGACCTTTTTATAAAATAACCCCACCGCCGCCGTACCAGCAACGACCCACGCGTTTTCGGAGGCCCGATTATATCGATCCTCCAGCCGAGGCCCATACAAATATATAGGTCAACTCCGAACGTATTATTAACTTACTATGAACATAGCCCGCGCACTGCTCGGGAAACACATCACGTCCCGGTAGGGTTTGTTGTTAACCCACCAATAATCGAAACGAAGGGTTTTTTACTTTAAACTCTAATTGATTATATTATTAACAGATTCTATTATTGACTGCTGTGTACGCCGATTGACACCGTTAAAGCACTAATTTCTATTCGCCGGCTCGCCGCTATAATGTGATAGGTACCATTAAATATTATTTATGAAAATGTTTCAATATTCGTTCAATCGTTCACCTCAAAAACCTGCAGGTTCATTACTCTTGTTGTTGTTCGAAATAATCTCATTTATAATATTTATCTACGAATGCCTGTTGCCCAACACAAGTGGTCAAATATAATTAATAACAGTCATAAACGTATTTATTTTATATATTTATTGAACTATAAAATTAAATTATGAATAATGTTATCATGAATAAAATGTAAAATTAATACGAAACCAACAGAATCTAATCCAAAAACATTATTCTTATAGATTTATATAAAATAAAATAATATCTACTTCCAGAATTATATAAATACTTGGACGGTATTATTAGGTGGTTATTTTATTAGTTAAATTATTCGTTTAATATTACACAAAAATGTATTTTACTAAAAAAATGCTAATAATACTCTTACATTTTTATTACAACACTAAAAATGTAGACACAACCACAACCATACTGATTGGATTCGTATAAATACTCAATAATTTTAACATTTTTATAAAATAAAAGGCATATTATCTAGCTTGGTGGTTCGTGACGCGGAGTTTAAAGTTTAAACTATATAATAAGATAAACCATAGGTCATTTTTTGACGTATTAAATGTAGTATTACTGCTTTAAGTAGAACAGTTATGATTATTACACAATAATACATCTAAGTAATTAAACAGAATAATCAAAGTTAATTGCATTCTAAATAAATGTTTTGTCGTACAATAGAAAATTCTAATCAAAGACATACATTTAAGTCTGTTTAAGTCTGATATATTATATATTAAACAAACAAGTAAAGCGACGGTCGCTGGTATAGTGGGGTGTCAAAACAATAATATAAACAAGTAAATGATTTGCATAATGCCAATTGCTTAGTACCTAGTAGGCACATGACAACAACACAAATTAAAAGAAAACATTCTTAACATGTCATATACCTACATATTTTGAACGCAGCAAATGGTAAATAATTCAAAATGTCTAAATATAAAATGGGTGTTTATAGACGCGCCACCGGATATCCTTCATAGAACACAGAGTGCGAGAAATCCGCACCAGAGTCGTATGTTTTTAAAATAGGTTGTATGTTTTTCAAATTCCCAGCAGTTGTAGTGGAAACGGAAACCGGGAGACTTATTTTCGGACTAGGCGTGTCCGGGGTACTGGTTTTTGCACGCCAAGGCCTCCCGCTGAAAAGGAAGCGCACAACGGATCCTAAATGCCGGAAACGTACATCCGGTTTAGTTTAAAAACACACGGCAGGATATACAAATACGCATGCGCACGCGCCGGATACCGGCAGTTTGGTTGTGAAACAAAACATGCGCTCTTTCCGGCTATTCAATTGGATCTTTTCGCCCGTTGGAAAAAATAACTCACTCAAATAAACCCTGTATGGTTGTATATAACATTCAAAATAACGATATTAAATTAAAAACGTGAAAAACGGGTAAACTGTAACTCGTACCCTTGTGTGCGTGGGGGTATAAAATAAAAACATCATGTCTATCCTGAGCAGTTTCCGTTTCTCTGACTCGTTTGCGTGGGAAACGACTAAAATTATACAGCTATAAACTGCTACGATCGATTGACGA